AGGTGCATAGTTGTATGGATCTCGAACACAAAGGTACAAATGTTTTTGTGATTTATGTGTTTTGCGAGCTGTTGCCATACATGACGTGCCTGTGGTCCCGCATGTAACCAGTGCCCATCGCTTCTTGGGGGCCTTAACGTTTGTGCTACGAGCTGTGGTCTTTGCAGAAAGGGATGTACCACTTCTGAAGAACAGACTCTGGCCCCAATACATTAACCTTGTATCGTTTATATAAATATGGGGGCAGGGACTAAGAACCACAAAGGAACTATATGGGAGATTGATGTGAGATTATTTTATGAGGTTGCCAGACTTGCTGTGGGTTTTTTCAGCTTTTCTGGATTTTCGATTTTCTGATTCTGAGCCTGAAATCGACCATTTTCAAAACAGAGGGCCGTGTCGTCTTAAATCTCCTTAAAGGACCACTATGCCACCCATTCCTACCAGTTTATTTGCTCAATGGTCATCTGCCTCCTCTGAATTCTGTCTTAATCTTGCCAGTTTTACCTCTTCTTCCACCTTTCTTTCCCCCAAACCGATGTAACCTTTCTTTTCGTTTCTTTTTTTTTGTTTTTTTCCTTATTGCCATTTTCAATAAACTGTCCTCATGGACGATGCCTACGTGTGTTCCTTTCCGTTTAAATCGCATCAGCTCTGACGCATCAGTATAACAAGCCCTGACAGGAGAAGTTGATCAGCATGCAATAAGAATCAAACCAGCAATGTCACACCAAGACATTTCAGTTGCTTTAGAAACCGTGTGACGGCACGCTTTTTGTAATACTCTTCCATACATCAGAAATCTAAACTGGGAAGAGGGAAATTAAAAAAAAAATAAGTCTCCATGTGAATTTTTCGTTGGACCACCTTTAGCTTTGATTATGGCGCACATTTGTCATGACATAGTTTCCACAGGCTTATGCAACATCTGACCCTTTATTTTCATCCAGATTTGCATTAATTCCTCATCGAGATCCTGTATTGACAAGTGAGTTGAACCACTCCATAAAGCCTCCTTCAGCACATCCCAAAGACCTTCAATGAGGTTAAAGGTGACCAAGTCATGCGTGAAAATGATTCCTCATGCTCCCTGAACCACTCTTTGACAATTCAGACCCAATGAATCTTGACATTCTTGTCCTGGAATATGCCCATGCCAACAGGGAAGGAAAAAAATCCATTGATGATGGATGGAGGTGTAACCTGGCCATTCACTAGATTCAGGTACTCAGCTGACGTCACTTTATTGCTGCATAATGTTGCTGAGCTGTAATAGTGATCCAGTCATTGGCTCTTAAGAATTTGCTGATATAAATTCAAATGGTGACTTTTTTGGCCGGGCAGTGTACAAATACCACTATGGAAATTAGAGGTTTGTTTACCATTGTAAGCTTCTGGTTTGGGGGCAGATGAGTTTTCCTTTTTTTCCATTAGCTGTTGTAATAATCATAGATTTCAGGCATATTTTAGTTCAAATTTTGGCTAGCCTACAGGGGAAAACATTGCGCTGTTCCTCGGCCTGAGACCATGTGCACTGGTTCTCTTCTGGGTTGAGGGCTGCAGAGTCTATCCTGTAAGGTATGGGCACAAGTCAGGGAATAACCCAGGATGGAATTTACACCTACGGGCAATTTGGCAACTCCAATTAACCTCCGCATGTTTTTGTACTGGGGGGGGGGGGAAACCCAACGACCACACAGGGAGAACATGCGAACTCTATGCACATAAATCCAGGGCGGAGATTTGATCCCAGAGGTTACTACTGCTAACCACTGTGCCACCTTCCACCAATCACTTCTAAATGATGAAATGACCTTGTTCAGACAAAAGGCATTTACTGCTTAAGAATGGATCACTATGGTCACATGCTGGGCAGGGAGCAAAATTTCCATATCTGTTCCTCTGCAAAGTGCTCAACTGAACCATATTGCCCACATTACTCTTGGACAGCAGGGTGGAATTGTCAAGACACCCCACCGTCTCGGCTATTTACAGCTTTCGCCTGGATTCCCACATGCTAAACTGGTGTAGAAAGAACTGGAGAAAGTTGTTTACCTGGAGGTATAAGAACACAGTGCCACTCATGGAACAAACAAATTATGGAATCCAGAATAAATCCTGACATACAGAAGTCTTCCTTCGAACAGATAGTTTATTGGATGTGTTGAGTAGAACATTACAGAGGTACCATCTCATGCAGCATCATCTGAAGCAAAATTTATACACTTGAATTTTTAAACCTGTATATGATTATGTTTCACAATATTCAGGCTTCCCATATTAATAAAATTGTAAATAAACAGTGCAGTAAATTTTTAAAAAGCTGAAATGCGATCATTGTATAAGCCAAATTTGCAATAGCGTGCCGTAATTTTTCTCAACCTGATAGATTTTCACTGGCTTTCTTAAGTCGCTTAAGGTTTACTCATGCAATTCCTGTCGAGTCAGTAAAAGGTGCTTCTGCTGTGGCTTTCAGGCTCTTCAGGATTAAATAGGTTCCTGATTCTTGTTTACATCATGTTTCCTTCAGTCATAGCAAGCTTTGGTGTGCCTGGTAAGAGTGAGTGCCTCTGTAGCTCAATTCTGTGATCACCATTCTGTGATCACCATTCTGTGATCACCATGTGTGACCGTTTGCCCTTTGTCTGTTGGGTGATGCGCCATCATGGTTCGCACCACATGTCCAGATTCCCTTTCTGACCAACATTTCTGCAAGATGATCCTGCAAGTGTGTTACTGCCAGGTTCCACAAGGGCAAATAAAACATTAGCTTCCTTTTCATGACAAGACATTTCAACTAAGTGTAAGTAATATTGTGAATTGAACGTTTTTTTCTATATTTTGGTCAGACTCTACTAATAACTGAGAGCTACTGATATCTGACCTCCCTCTGGCTTCTGTCATCAGTGTGGTTGCTCCACTTTGAGAAACAGCCACATCTTTTGTTTGGGTGGCATTTTGTATCCCTGTCTTCATGATTAAATACACTCTCAGGGACATTGTTGTACCATTTTCCTGATCTCTCATATTTTCACAGACTTTATTCCTGACTTGTTTTGACACTTCTTTCATCTTTACAATTTTGCCTTCTTTTCTTGAAGTTCACTACCTGACCATGAATTTGTCATTGGTTTTGTTAGAAAATTATGACATTTAATTACTGCGCAAAGATGAATGAATTGTGTAGGACTTAAGGTAATTCCACCAAACCTATTTAATCCAGTTTTGCTGTATCAAAGGATTAAATAAGTAAGCAATTATGAATTTCTGTTTGTGATAATCAGCCTATTTCTCTATATTAGTATGTATGCACAGTATTTGTGTTAGGGTGCCCTTAATTTCAATTGTGAGCTCGCTCCATCTCATTGTAATCCACTGTCCAGTGAGTGCAATTTCACAAAGGCAGCCCCGTCAAACAGAAATCTTCTCAGATGACAGGACAGCTACATTCCCTCTGGCATTTTTAGTATAAATCCAGCCAGAGGCAAACTGACAGCTTTGCCCAGTTCTTGTAATTTCTGCAACTGTTCTCTGAGAGAATTAGTAAAGCCACAGCCTTCTTAGTGTCGGCAATTGCACACAAACAATTAGATGAGTCAGAATAAGTATTTGGAACAGACAAAAAACTATGAGTAAGTGTATTGATCCCATATTAACTTTTGGATGAAACAATGACACCACATCCATCCTTCCAACCATCTTATCCATCCATCTATCTATCCATCCATCCATCCTGAAATGGAAATAAAATAGTTTCATTCATTGTGTTTGATTCCTGCTAAATTTAACAATTAAGCATCCGTTTGGAATAGTTACGTCAATACTTTTACCTTTTCATCTGAGCAGTTTCACCTGGCCCCACACGAAGACTGCCCTTAGGAATAAGAGATAACTTGTTGCACAAAGACACCTCGGGTAACGGAATGCTTATCTGACATGTATTTGACAGGTATGAAACAAGTGGTTGCCAAGCAACAGTGGAGCAGGAATGCTGTTGCTAAGAGACAGCCGCTGCACTGCCCGCTGGCAGTGGCGTTTACACACGCTGCTTATTCTGCGCTGTTGAGTAGAGCGAGCAGCAGCAGCCCAGATGAAACTGATACACTTCCTATGAAGCTGAATGATGTTTGAAATAAATCATGGCGCCGCTTGCGGCTAAAATAAAGGATGTTCCTTTGTCAGTTTGGAAATGGGATGATAATTAATTACATATTCTCCCATACAGATATCTCATTTTATGTATAATGACTGTCATTTATAAGTAGTATTTGTGGCAATGCAATTGTCTAATAGGATACAAAAGCGTTACTAAAATGGCACACTGAGTTGATATTAATTTACAAAGAACCTTTAATCAGTATTGCATTCCAATTTTAAGTAATTGCTCTGAGAGGAGAAACGTGACAGGCGGCTGACTAGGCGGCCCTGTTCCCGCCCACCTCCAAAGATGGGAACTCGAATACCGCCTCCGCCCTGCGTGCTCGGAGTTTCATGTTCGCTCCGTGTTATGCGGGGGACCAACTCGTAAGGTTAGACTAATTGGTGTCTCTAAATTCATCATGCAGATGAATGTATGATATGCATATGACTGTGTACGTGCACCTGTCCACCGTGTACCGAAACCTTGCTGCCTGGGAAAAGCTCCGGTTGCGTCTTGATGTTTTCCAGTCCCCGTTTATGTCTGAATAAAAAGCTTGCACTTCGAAACCGCAAAAGGGTAACATTATTTTTATCAACATCATTTTTTACATATACCTTAAAACTTTTGTTCGTCTCGGAAACTTGAAACGAGCTACGTCGCCACGTTCTTGTAGAATCCAAATACATGCAATATTGATAGAAAAAGGGGCAATCTACACACCTATGCCTTTATAAATCTACTCAGACTACTGTTTTTCCAGTTCAGTACTGAGCGGTGTCATTTGACGAACAGATATTTAGTAAGGCATTTTATTCCGAAATAAATTTTGAAGTTATTTTTTTTTTTCTCAGCCAGCTTACTAACGAGTGCGAATCTCAGGAACGCCAGCAGCCCCGGCGATGGAGCGTCAAGGTCGTATAGCTGCTCGGTAAATGAGACGCTGATCGCCGACGCGCTGGTTTTTGTCTCCCGTTATCTGACGTGCGCAGCGACCCTGTGCTGCGCGCTCGTACAAACCGGCACGTAGAGGAGATGCGCTCCCTGCAGGCGGCGCCGCAGCGCGGACACCTGAGCTGCCCGCTCGGGAGTGGGAGGCAAACGGAGTAAAACGCTTTCATGGGGTCTTCATAGTCGACAACGCGTGGGGACCGCGATCGCAATGTCCGGGGTTTGCGATCGGCTCACCGAATATAATACCTAAGCTTACCAAGGTAAGATAACTACACTCGTTGCTTTTTCCTTAGTATATAAGACGTTCTGTATTCATTGCGTTTACACGTAAAACACGCTCCGCAATCGCCGCAGCCATGCGTATTTGTACATCGGCACCATCGTAGGTGGAACATCACGCTCTGCATACCTGCAGATAAAGTTATTGGGTGTTAAAATGTTTCAGTAAGATTAATAGTGAAATTAGAGGATGAAGTGAATGTTATCATTACGCCAAAATGCCATCTACCCTATGGTGAAGGATAGCTGTCAACTTAGTGAAACTCCACTACAAACGCGTCAGGCACTGTAATCGAGATGATGCCTCGTCGCCAGTATAACCGGCACTCGTAGACTGGGTAAGTTTTTCTTTCTTTCTTTCTTTCTTTTACAGTATATTATTAGAATTAGTAGCCGAAATATCACTTGATAGAAAATTGCGCTGCTGTCTTAACCCTTCACTTATTCCGTGATGTTGCAGTTTTGTTGAGTAATCACCAACGTAGTACTGCTGCTTAACATTACAAAAGAGACTTTCATCTGCATATTCTTCATCTTTTTCAAGCTTCAAATAAATTCCCTATAAATATCTTAGCCGTTCCACTTAAGCCTTGCTGACCTGGTTTAAGAGTACCGGTGCGCGCGCTGCCATTCTCCTATATGGTGTGATTGTTAAATAAAGCAAAGAGTATATATAGTCATTATATACTGACATTTTCTCAGAGTAGCTACATTGTGTGTTTTCTCTAGGTTTTTGTAATTATTTAAAATCAAATTGCCCAACCTGTGTTCACCTCATTTTCACTAAGGGTAAGGGTGTGCGGATCGCGAATTTTTTTTATGCTGTTGTTTTAATGAGAATATACTGTAAACGTTAGCTGTGCAGCATTATGCTCTCAAGCACCCCTCTCAGGCATGATGAAACATTATCAGGGATGAAGTGTTAATCCAAAACGGGAGGCGTGCCATGGACAACTTAAAAAAAATCGTCAGACATCATTAGGTGGTAGGTCATGGCATCCCTAAGCACTATTTGAGAACATGCTTGGGTTTGCGATTGTATTTGCATACAAATGCTAGAGCTTTCCTTCACTGCTGACGGCAGCTCTGCAGAGCGGCAGGCAGCCGCGTAGATCTCACTGCTACAGCAGCGTCGGGGCCTTGATTGGCGGGAACCCAATCATGAGTAGTAAAACTGACGTCTCTCTCCCCAAATGGATGTTGTCACAGCTGGACTTTACTGGAAACCAATGGATACTTCCACAGAGAATTCTCACTACTATCTTGTGATGGTGAATTGTTGTTAATTATCCACATATTTTATTTATGTTGAATGACAATAAAGATATTCTATTCTATTATATTATATTATACTCTGCACTCATGATGAATGCCACCCTTTGCCTGCCTTTTCTCAGGATGTTTTCTTGAACCTAGGAACGTGCCATCGCACCTCGATTTCTCGTTCAGTTGCTGGGCGCTGCCTCCCCTGCTTACTCTCACGCGGCGGGAAGTCCGAGCGACTGCATAGGAATGCAGCGGATCGCTTGAGGACGGGACCAACGGGGATCTCCTCTCCAGAGCCCAAGACACGGGTACGGATGTGAGGCACGCCTTGGGCGCTCACGCCGCTCTCTCTCTCTGCCGCTGTCCGCAGGGGTGCTGGCCTATGAATGGGACTGTGTCGTACCCGCAGCCCCTGCCCGTGCTCCCGCTGTAACTATGTGGCATCCGCGCTGCGCCCGGAATGCATTGGCCTGCAGTTTGCGAGAACCGGGAGGGCGGGGCGGGCAGCAGAGGCCGAGGAGGTGGCCGGGGGGGCATGCCCCCTCCCTTCAAGATCGCCGTGCTGGGGGCGCAGGGGGTCGGCAAGACGGCGGTGGTGCGACGGTTCCTGCACGATGACTACAGTGAGACCGGCACGCCCGGCCACACCCGCCAGGTGCATCTGTCCGCCGCCGTTCTCAACGGGCACGTGCACGACCTCCAGATCACCGACTACCCCGCCATCCCCAGCTTCCCTGGAAGCTCGCTGCAGGTACGCCGCTGCTCCCAGCACCAGTTGGCATGCGCAGCACATTCAGCCCCGTAGGCCACAGAGAGGAGACACACATTCTGTTCTCATTGTTTTCCACAATAAAAGTGATGCAGACATTAATAATGAATATTTGCTATATAAGGTTAACATTATAGGGCAACTCCAGTACTATGAGTTTAATATTGCTGTTTATAGTAATAAAATGTGCATACACACACACATACACACACATATATATAGTAGAATCTGTAGATTAGTTTTATATATAAGTAATATGTAACTATATATATATAAAAAACTGATCATGGAGATTCTGTGATGACTGTACTAAAGTCTATTGCTGATACCTAGCCATATAAATATTACATTTCATACAGTCTGTTTCTTTCAGGCTCAGGAGCTGTATCATTCTGTGAGGTATTCATGAAATGTGGTAACAAAGTGTAAAATGCTGGAATGCCTGTCATTGTTTGGGTAGAAACCAGCTCATTATGAGCTTTTTGTAAAAAAGACAGTAGAATCCCAGGTGCTTTGAGTACCAAGGCTCCTGTCCTGCCACAGACTCTGCCCAGAGTGTCTTAACATCCCTGTCATGCAGATGGTATTTAAGTGTAGATTTCATGTCCTGCTTGTTTTTGTCTGGTCGTGTTATGTGTTCTATCATTTTTTATGACGCACCTTGCACTCAATCTGTTACGCCTGAAGCCTGTTTTTTTTTCTTGAAGATTCAGCTATTCAGCATCATTCTGTCTATTTTTTGCATCGCGGCTAATGAATCTCCAAAAATAGGCGTGCTCTCCTTTGATTCGTCGCGGTCCATTTGTTTGGATAGCGGCCTGGAGTTGTTGCCTGAAGCTCTGGAGCACGTTGAACAAGTACCACTTACAGATGGGTCGTGTGCCATTAGCGGAGTGCATGTCCCTGATTGAGGGCCGTAGGCGGCGTCCCCAAACACTACCCTGGATGACTTTGTTAATTCAGAATTCAGACCCGGATGGATTCAGATTTCTGATGGGTGCTGCGGAATCGGTGCCTAGTAACAGAAGAGGGATTTAGGGCAGAGACCCTCAGAGTGGCACATCTGCTTCCTGCATCACTTTTCTGCCATCACCAGTATTTCCTGTTTGAGCCTTACTTGCTGGACTGGAGTATGAATATCACATGCTTCCTAAGCATCTGATAAGGTTATGGAAGGTGGGCCTGTTTTTTTCCCGGCTCCTACCCATCATGCAACACAAAAGAGATGAACACATCATCACCTGTATCTCTAACATGGCAGAATTATTGCAAGGTCGCAATTCAAGTAGAGCCATGTCCCTTTGACGAATGGGGAGACTCCGATTCCGCAAACCGAATGAAGTGATAAACCTCGACTTGGTTATTTCATTGGGAATGTGCAGCATAAATTTTATTGTATGTTTTTTTTCCAAAAATTGCTTAAATGCAATGAAATATTAGTAAGTATTGTCCGATCAGCCACACACACCATGACTTGACACTCAAAGCTAATGTCTACAGAGCCTTGCTTGTTGCATAACAGATTTTTAAAAGCAGGACGTGAAAGGGCTGTAAACAGACATGATGGCTGATCGATTCCCTCGCTTTCTGCTGGGGCAACTGAAATTGTAAATGTATTTTTTTGGGGAAGTGCAGTGCTTTAAGTTGCTCTGGTGTGCATGTTTTTTGCTGGAGTTGCACATCGTACCTATTATTTTCCTTGACGACATTGTCTGTAGTGTTTTAATGGTGTTTATTTTAAGCTTCGGAAAGTAAAGTGAAAATGAGAAAGAAGCAGCAGCCATATTGGCCATTAATGTTTTCCAATTTTCTCATTTTTTCACTCTTATCTCCCAGTCGGCCAAGTGCCTTTGAGCCTCTCTCAGCCTTATATCATACATTTGCATACCTCACCCATATTTTCTTTATTATTATTTCCCTGCAAATCTTTTATTCAGTTTTTGTGCAGATCGTGTTTTGTTTATGATTTTCTAAGAAGGAATGAACAAATCCTGCCAGAGCATGATGCAAAAGAACAAAAAAATGAAATTACACAATGATTAGCTGTAGGCCTCCCATTGGTTAACCCTGTACAGACCTCTCATTGGCTAACCCTGTACAGGCCTCTCGTTGGCTAACCTTGTACAGACCTCTCGTTGGCTAACCTTGTACAGACCTCTCGTTGGCTAACCTTGTACAGACCTCTCATTGGCTAACCCTGTACAGGCCTCTCATTGGCTAACCCTGTTCACTTTATTAGCTGATATGCCATGCATTTGTGTAGAGGTACAATCGCTGCTGTGTCCCATACCTGTCAAGTTTTGGATTTGAAAATAAGGGAAATTTTCCAGTACCCACCGCGAGCCATCACACCACCCCAACCAAGCTGTAGTATCCCTTACATTTTAAGACAGGTGTACAAGAAATCTAAAATAACCACTTGTCATTTTATTTTCATTACACATTTTCTTTTAATTTCTCATGTTCACTCATGTGGCTCTCTGGCCTTCACTAATGACTTATTATACAGATTTGTTGCAGACTTTGTATCCTTGTTGAAGTCGTCACAGAAGGTGAAAGTAACGTTGTTTTTGGCACACAGCATTGCCATTTTAACCTCCGCATTTATGACCTGGTTAATGTTGTAAATGACCTGCAGTCTACTGCAGGTGGCAGTTCTCGCGATGCTACTGACAGTTCAGTTTGGAGAGGCAGAGGAATTTTTTTTAAATGATATTATAATACGGGAGATTTACGGGAAAATACTAATATGGGAGGACGGCGGGAAAGAGGGGTAAAATACGGTAGTTTGCTGGCCAAAACGGGAGACTTGACAGCTATGCTGTGTCCATATCCGTTTCCATAGTTTGATTTCTTGCCTCTGTTCCCGTTTGGTTTACCATGTCATTGCATGTAATGATGACTGCATGTTATCAAAGGTGAGCACATCCTGCAATGGGGGCTGTGTGTGCATTGAAAATGCGATGGAATGCTTAGGATCCCGCAATGCGTTACTGGTGCCCCGCTTGTGTGTGGGGTGAGCTCCTCCCCCTCATTCACCTGCCTTCATCCTCCCAGCAACCCCCCCCCCCCACTCTCCAAGGTTGACTAGGGTCAGAGGTTAACAGGTTAACAGGTCTTCTGCTTGTGGAAAAAAGTGCCCTGTCATCTCCCGCAATGCGTGCTGTGCTGTAACTCTAGGGACTCTACGAGCACACTGCCTCTCTGCTGAAAGGGAACATTCGTTAAAGTGATAGCGGTAGCATCCGTTGAAGTGATAGCGGTAGCATCCGTTAAAGTGATAGCGGTAGCATCCGTTAAAGTGATAGCGGTAGCATCCGTTAAAGTGATAGCGGTAGCATCCGTTAAAGTCATGGCGGTAGCATCCGTTAAAGTGACAGTGGTATCATTCGTGAAAGTCATAGCGGTAGCATCCGTTAAAGTGACAGCGGTATCATTCGTTAAAGTGATAGCGGTAGCATTCGTTAAAGTGATAGCGGTAGCCCTGTTTAGAAGCAGGCATGTTCTGCCTGTAGAGTCACATGGCTTTTTTATGACGGGTCCACACTAGTACTTCTGCAGTTAGCGCTTCTTCCACACACCTCTGGGGATCTGGCTATGAATTTCCTGTGCAGACCCATCCAGGATCTACCCCAGCTCAGTGCTGCCTGGGATAAGCTCCAGGCCCTCATGTCACTATCCAGGATAAGCAGTCGAAAGATGGATAGACCATATTATAATAATTATTACTTTTATTATTATTGTTAATTATTAATCCTTTTTTAACAGCCTTTTTTGGTCTGAATTGTATCTTAAATTACTCTCCAGGAAAATAAGTAATTATTTTTCTGCTCGATTTACTCATATGGGTGGAGTGATGGCATTGGGAAGGTTGTTGGTTCGAATCCTGTGAATTCCAGAAGTGTTTCTACTCCGTTGGGCCCTTGAGCAAGGCCTTCAACTTGCAATTGCTTCGCCCTGGGTATGACATTAATCTACATCCAGCCCTATAAAGGGGTCCTCCAACTTACAGGGAATAATATGGGCGTTGGTGGCAGGATTGGCACTGCAGCCACTGGAAAAAACTCACATTGTTCCATTCCATTCGAACTAGTGTGGAGGTATCACCCGCTGCATGACTGCACTCGGGTTCTCATCCCTGAGTTGGTGGGTCATGTGGTAGGTGCAGCAATATGCTGCATTAGCGTGTGCTCCGTAACTCCTTTACTCGTATGCTGTGTCCTGTGCTATAGCACACAATTTTATCTGGCAGGTACATTTGAATGCAGAAGGAACTAGGACTGCTGATTATTTGCATAGATACCGTAAAAGACAACGTAATACATTTAAAAACGGCGGCAAGTGTTATTTCTACAAATATAAAAGTACAGGGACTGCTGATATTGTCACAGTAATGACGGTGCAGCTGATATGTTTGGTTTTGTTGGAATTGCACTGGCAGTAGATTTGTAACTATGTTCCAGTTCTCCATGTGTTTACATTCTCGCTGTCTCTTCCCGCCCACTCATACCCTCCCTGTTTGTCTCCTTCTCGCCGCCCCCCCACCCCCAGGAGTGGGCCGATTCCTGTTGCAGAGGCATCCGGAGTGCTCACGTCTACATCCTCGTTTACGACATCTGCTGCTTCGACAGCTTCGAGTATGTCAAGACCATGCGGCAGCAGATACTGGAGACCAGGTACATGCCAACCCCCCCCCCCACATACACACACGACACACGTGCATGCCCACGATCTGTAGCCCATGTCCCATTAGCATTCAGAGGGTGTAGGAAAAAGCAGAAAGTCAGCTGCTCACAGCCCTTACTGAGGTGACGAGTCGTCGATCCCTTTTTGTTATCTGCTAATATACTGATTCCAAAAATATACCAACGCCCTATAAATAGCCACCTTTCCGTAAAAACGTTTGGAAATTTAGCTCAATTATTGCCCTGTTTCTGCACAGTAGTTTCCCCCAAACTTAGAGCTGGCAGTAATAATATTAATTTGCATTTGGGTATCTTAGATCAGTGTTTCTCAACCCAGATGGTCCACGTTTTTGCTCCCTGCCGGAAAGTCCACAACTTTCTTAGATTAATAGGGGACTGACATATCAGATGTGATAAAAGTGTTCCTTTAACACATGCATTTCTCGATGAAATTATGTTTCGAAAGTGCCGTAGGATTTCCTTAAGCTTCTGTGACCTTGCTGGCCTTCATATTGTCAGATTCATCTGTGGGCAAAAGATCCAGATAGAAGCGAGAATTAGTTGATAAAAACGTACAAGAGAAGTCAAAACAGATAGTCTTGATCGGTTGGGTTGAGATCTAATCTATTGAAGCTGACGAAAATGTGGCATTTTGAGATTACCTTGACAGACCGATTTTCCAAGCGACACATCACTCTGCACCTCGACGGCAAGTTACAGTGGTGTGAGTCAGTAGCAGCCAGGCGGCATACCGGAGATGCGTCTGTCAGGGATTCGCTGATTGATCCTTAGTGCGGTTGCTTCAACCCCATGAGCGCGGTCGCATCATCACGTAGACAGTGAGGCGGGCAGTAAGTCCCGGGGTTTTTCGTTCCTTTAAATGCACTTAATGCTGCACTTTAATTCATAGATAACCCGTCAGGCACGTCTACGCTTTCACCTCACCGTACGGAACATCGAACTAATTCAAGAGGTTTGCCGCCCGTTCAGCCGCGGACGCCTTGACAGCACTGGGGATATTCTTCTGCCTTCTCCTCAGGTCATTGTGCATGGAGTCGCGTTTGCCAGCTGCTTGCCAGCCCCATCACAGTGGCCTTGTCACACGGAGAGGCCAGGCGTCACCTCCACACCTGACAGCTGTCGGTGCCGCCATGCCCCCCCGCCAGAGCACGGGCAGATGGGGGGCGGGGAGAAGGAGTCGGAGTCTCCATGTGACAGATCTCCAGCCTTTATGCTGCCTCCACCCCTCATATACCAGAGATGCTGAGCTTAAAGGCTTATGGTCGCTGTGTACAAAGCTATCCGCATGTACATGAGTTACTGCCGTCAGAGTATGTTAATCCCAGCAGACAGAGGTTGCCCACGTTGATGGGATTTGGAGAAATTTGTACATGGAGCACTGTCTCCTTTTGGTGCCTCCCAGGGAAAAGAGAAAATTGGCAGGAGATCGCTGGCTTCTGAACATCTCCCCTGGGATTCTGGGAGAATTGTTCTCCCAAATATGGGCGTTAAAGCGAGCATGTCACCAACACTGGAAGGAGGTGGGAGCTGAGGACAGGAAGATGGGGCATGAACCCACGATGCCTGGCGGGGGGCAGGTTGGGGGGTGCAGGGTCAAGGCGGTCAATGACCACAATGAATTCCTGAAATGCTTGGAGTACAGGAATGACCGGGAGGAGCAAAACAGGATCCATTATAGCAAGTTTGTGTCTGATAATGACTCGTTAAGTGTAACTGTTATGAATTAATGAAATTCAGTGTCCTTTTTCAGTGGAGATTTTTGAATTGAGTTAATTGAATTAAAATCAGCGTCCATTCAGTGCGATTCTGTATTTTGACACATTAATTACAATGTTCTTAATGTATTTCTTATTATGAAATAATTACTTATTTGATGCTGTTGATTGGGGTGACAGTAGGTATCACTGTTGCCTCGCCCCTCCAGATTTGGGGTACAAACAGTATTGGAATTTAAGCTCACCTGCCTCTTGTGGTGAGTAATTTATGCACAGAGCGAGTAGCAAGTACAAAAAATTGAACACTGCTAGTAAAAAATTGCATGTCGGCCTACATTTATACTGAAGTAGTCCTGTTTTGCTAGTAGCAAAAATTCTTTAGTTCCACCCCTGGGTACAAATGATGTCTCCACGCTGTGTCTATGTGGAGTTTGCACGCCCCCTCCCCCCCCCCTTGTTTTGGAGGTTTTCTCCAGCAGTCCAAAGTCATGCTGTCCGGCTAAATGGCTGCTAATATGGTTCTAATATGAATGTTTCTGTAGCTCAGCCTTGGGTGCCATGTTGCTGTGATAGGCTCCAGCTCCCCGTCAAGACCCTGACCAGGATACACAGTTAGGAGACGCATGGATGTTCTTAAGCGATAAATCATTATGTCTGAGTGCAATTAAGCCATTGATTGTAGGGTCTGAGCAGAGGTGGGTAGTTCAGGTCCAGACAGTAAAAATCCAGACCAAGATTTTGTTTAAAACAACCAGCATAAATAATCATAGTCACAGAATACTAAACTGGTTGGTTGAAACAAATTCTCAGTGTGGACTTTTACTCTCTGGGTCCAAATTACCTACCTCTGGGTCTAAGGAGCCCAGTCTTATAATTGGCTCTGAACAGGAGAAACAATCTGACCAACGTAGGGAACTCGTTCCAGCCCCCATTTTCTTCCTTCTGTTTTTCCTCTGCTCTTGATCTACCCCAAACTCAAAACCTTCTGAACAAGATGAGAAACTCTGGTCGGGCCAAGAGCGGGGGTTTAATAACACTAATAAAAGACATTGTGCCATTGATTAAACACATTTGTAACTCAGACAACGAAAACTGCTTCTAACAAACAGAAACAATGTGTAAAGAATGAAAGGACTAGTCGATATTTCCGATCAGTCGTGATCCACATTGTTGAGATGACTAATGTTCTTCGGTGAAATGTATCTGCCGGTTTCCATTGATGTTAATGACTAAGAACACACCCCCAGCATACTAACCCAGGCTGGCTAGATGCCAGCTTACTATGCCTTTTGTAGCACGAGTGTCACGGTGACTCATGCCTGCCCTCCCCAATCCTTGTCACTAGGCTGCTGGGAACGGCGGAGACCCCCATCCTGATCGTGGGCAACAAGCGGGACCTGCAGCGCGGCCGTGTCATCCCCCGCCACAACGTGTCCGACCTGGTTCGCAAGAGCTGGAAGTGCGGCTATGTGGAGTGCTCGGCCAAGTTCAACTGGCACATCCTACTGCTGTTCAGCGAGGCTGTACGTAGCGTCGGCTGCGCCCGCTGTAAGCATATCCACGCCACCATCCGCTTCCAGAGGGCACTGAGACGTGAACGCTGCTCCCTCATGTGAGCACTGGGCCCTCGAAGTGAGGGAATGACCCCAAAACTCATTACGAGATGCGACTATGATGGTCCAGGACATCACTACATTGCAACAGCCCCAACCGCTAAGCACCAAAAGTCCCACTCACTTTCTGCCCTGTATCTGTGCTGCGGAACTTTATGACAACAAAGGAAGCACAAAGGCTCATTCTCGGCGGACTCCAAGAAGTGCACAGCACCTGCCATGCCAGTGCAGTCGGCTAAATCTGCAATATCAACTCGAGAAGAAGATTTGGTATTCACTGTTACTTTGAAGATGTATTCTTTGCATATCCTTGACCAGGGTCTACCGGGAAACAACTAGTTGTTCTCTGTCTTTTGGCTCTTTATGACGCCACTTCCTCTTCAAAGAGTTGAATAAAGTTACAGAGATGCTTATTTTCTGAATCAGACGCAGACTAAAATCACAGTTTCATCCAGCTCTGCAAGAGGTCCTCCAACTTGCAGGGAAAGATTTGGGGGTTGGTGGCAGGATTGACACTCCAGCCACTGTAAAAACTTAGCACAGCTCTGACAAAGCTACTCTTAGTGGGAGTAGCTCTGCTGCAGCCACCAATGGGAAGCTTGCATGCATCATGAAGGGGATGAGGGAAAGCCCTCGGGGGCCTCATCCCCGGAGGAGTTGAAACCACCAGGGAGCCAATGGGACCAGACCTGTTGGGAATTGGACCTGGTGTGGTGCCGAGGCATCACCTGCTGCACGGCAGCACTTGGGTCCGAATCTGAGGCGGTCCATCCGGGTAGGCGCGTGGAACGTCTTGTCTCTCCGGCATGATGACCATCTTCCTCTGCTGTCGGTGGAGCTTCATAAACACCGCATAACAGTGGCGGCACTCAGACCAGGAACTGGTGAGATCGCTGTAGGTGGGTACACCTATTATTGGTCTGGTTGCCTTGATGGCTGCCATACTCCGGGAGTTGCTGTTGCTGTGGCGGAATTACTTCTCCCGATGGTGTCCAATGTCACTCTTTTCAACAACTATATTATGAGACTCCGGCTAAGGCACTCTCCGGGTGTACACTCTGACCACAGTGAGTGCTGTCTCAATGAGGTGACACTCCTCTGGTCACTGGTGACTTCAGTGTGACCACTGGCACTGACAGGGCTGATTATGAGGATTGTGTCAGTCCCCACAGGTCTGGTGATTGTGTTGAAAGTGGCTCCATGTTCCTTGACTTTGCAAAAAGTCAGCAGCTGTGGGTCACTGGATCCTGGTTCCAGTGCCCTGAGCCGCATTTTATCCACAAACAGGATCTGTGATCAATTGTTTGCCTACCAGCAACCGGAGCAGCCTAGTTTTATGCCTAAGAAGTCAACCGTCTGCATCCTGGCACTGAGGGTTCTCACTGAGTGCAAACATGAATATTGGCAGAGTTTCTTTGCAGCCTTTGTTGATTTACATAAAGAGTTTGACTCTGTTGGGCAGGCTGCCCTGTGGGACATCCTGAGACTTCGCGGGATCCTCCTGAAGTTGCTGGACATCATGGCCGGCCTGTACACTGGTACTGTGAGTGCCGGGCAGAGTGGAGGCAGAATCTCTGCATTCTTCCCAGTTTGTCAGGAGTGTGTTCTTGCTCCTTCTCTGCTTAATGCTTGCATGGGCTGGGTGTTGGGCAGGGTCATGGGGTCCAGCAGCTGTGGGGCATCTGTTGGTGAAGAAAGATTCACTGATCCAACAAAAAGTCGCACTGGCTAAGGGCGTCTGCCAAATGCAGTTAATGTAAATGTAATGCTGTGGTCTTCGCATAGTCAATGGAGGCTCTCATCAGGGCTCTCGAGTTAATGATCGAGGAGTCTGAGTGTCTGGGCTTGTGAGTGTAATGGATAAAAACCAAGATATAGGCCTTCAATGACCTCTTGGGCACAGCCATCAGCAGTGTGTCTGTCTGCAGGGAGAACGTCAACCACATCAAGAGTTTCACTTACCTTGGTAGCGACATTCATGTCTCTGATGACTCTTGCTTTGAAGTCAGTAGAGGGACTGGGAGAGCATGGGGATCATGAGGTTGCTGGAAAAGGGTGGCACTCCAGATGTCTTTGTAAGAAGACAAAAGTCCAAGTCTTTAGAGTCCTGGTGCTCCCTGTCTTGCTGTATGGCTGTGAGACATGGACGCTATCCAGTGACCTGAAATGAAGACTGGACTCCTTTGGTACTGTGTCTCTTCGGAGAATCCTTGGGTACCACTGGTTTGACTTTGTGTGCGACCGAGTGGTTGCTCAGGTAGTTCCCAATGAGGCACATTACCTGCATTGTGAGGAAGTGCTATGGCACTACGGCTATGTTTCCGATTCCCTGAGGGTGATCTGGCTCACAGGATCCTCATTGCTGAGGACCCGAGCAGCTGGACCAGGCTAAGGGGACACCCACGTAACACCTGGCTGTGGCAGATAGACGGCCGTTTCTGGATGGTGGGACTGGACTGCATGTTGGCCTGGAGGGTCGCCAACCAGGATCCTGAGGTGTTTCATTGTGTGGTGGGATCGGCAACGCGCTGTACCAGTGCATGCTTCCCAACCTTGACCTGACCTGACAGTCACACCCGTCCCGCAAACATTACACCTCAGTCTAATTCACTCCTGTGTAGTCTGTGCCAGTAGCTGTGTTGTCCAGTTATCGGCGGATGTCAGAAGATTCATTAATAACTTTCAACGAGGCACAAGAAGAAGTCAGAAGAATTACTTTCTTATATTGTTCCCTCAGAAACTATATCCGTTAATTGTAACTTGGTTTGACATTTTTCATCCTCATTTTAGACTGAAAACTTCAGCCAAGGCTAATGGGTCTTTAAAGAAACACTCAGTCAGAGAACATGTTTCTGGATATCTTATTCAGCTTCGGTCCATTTTATTTTGACTTTTTGCATAACTGAGCTTCCTATGAGAGATGTATTTTATTCCATTATTACATGGCTGAACATAATATGTGTTTTGACTTTAGCCCATCTGTCCTCGTCACCTAAAATATCCTCCTTGGGAGATTTTTTTGGAACTTTTTCGAGATCCCTGGTAACACTTTACTTGAGGGGGCATAAGTAAATGTTACATTTTTTGTACTCGCTCTGCATCTAAATTACTCACTGCAGGAAGTGAGCGACACTCTTACTTAATGTTTTTATTAACCAGTAACTAATTGTTAGTTATGCACTGATCCCATGTTCGTTTATCATTAAATCATCATAATGGTTCACGAATTTCATGCAGTTACTATATTTGTTCGTGATTTGTAGTTGAGTAGTAACTGAGTAAGTTATTTGTGCCACCTCAAGTATAGTGTTACCAGATCAGCTTTATCATTCTGTGTGTTTGTGAAACATTTCCTTCGGCATGGACTGTTTGCCTTCTTGAGTTGTTGGATGGTCAATGGAAGATGTGTATGTTGGAATTAAAAAAATACAGTTTATCCTTCAGTGTAGGGGGGGCTTTTAAATTTATTGGCCTTTATTTCAGGTCCTGAATTCGGTGGGTGAAGTTCTTGGGATCTCACTGTAATGTGGCACAATCCCTCCTCGCATACAGGACAAAATGGTTCAGCGGTTTCCAAAATGTCAGGTTGATACTCTTTCACATTCATCCACATATTGATGCATGTTAGGACCTAAGAAGAATCCTTCTATTTTCTAGTTTCTGTTCCTGAAATAAAACACAAAGCAAAGCAAATGACTAGGCCTTATATCTGATGTATGAACTGGATACAGATTACTCACTCAGGTTGATTTTCTGTTGCAGCTGTACTAGCATGCCTATTTATACTGCAGTTTCACTGTAAATTAAACTTGGCCCACAGCTGGCTGGCTGAGTGATCTTCTGCTTGCCCCTTTCCTCCCTCCTCGTTAAATGATACCTTTTGCTACATTGCAGTTCATTGGCACTTAATTTCTTAATTTTTTGTATTCCTTAGCCCTTAGACTGGTTATTAAAATGTATGTTTAGTATCACAAGGTGCATAATGTTAATAAAAGGAATGTGTGAGCATCATAAAGACTGTTAATATAATATATAAAGTGATTAGTTACACACAGTGCAACATGTCCTCTGCATTTAACCCATTTATGACATAGCAGGGGGCAGTTAATCCAACACCCATGAAGCAGCACCTTGCTCAGAGTACTTCAGTGATTAGGGATTCAAACCAGCAGTCCTTTGATCACAAGGGTGCTTCCCTAACCATTAAACCACCACTACCCCAAATAGCATGCACTGCCCAGGCATCGAACCCGGGTCACAAGAATGGGAATCTTGCACGATACCACTACCCCAGCAGCATTGTGTATTGGATATACATTAAACATTAAGAGCATAGTAGAAGCTGTTTATACAAAGCTATACTTAATCATCTCCTATATTGGATACTTTTATTGTCTTCCAGTGCGATGTTCCTCAGTGGGACCTCAAACCCCTGTCTCTTCAGCACAGTGCTTCATCACAGCCTGAATGTCACCCCATACTGCATACAATGACATAGCAGATATCACCACAAGTTATTGCACTGCTAATCTGATGCAGCTCCGAGTGGCAAACGGACCTTCCTGCTGTGTGCCACATTCTGGGATAATTGCATATTTCCTGTGTAAGACAGCACAGTGTAATTAGAAGTGACCCCACCTTTAACTATTTGGAATAGGAGGTGAGGGCAGTCGACCATTGTGGTTTTATCCATTAATGCTCAGCTGCCATCCTACAGTGCCTTTGTAGCCCTGAAGAACAAAGGCAGCTTGTTGCTGGTTAGAGCTGTGAAGGTGGGGCTCTGTTGTCAATTACTGGTTTTTCCATGTCTGAGTCTGACTACCGACGATGGTACCTGTTCTAAAGGGACATTCACACTTGAAGACCTTCACTGAAGTGATCCAGGTGCGGCCAGTACTTTTCTTAGGGGTAAAGCACCAACATTTTGGTCACGTCTCCAGTTTCAGCTTCCACTTCCAGCTGTTACACTGATTTATCTCCACCTGGCACCAAGTGCAAGCAGGTCAAACTGAATTTGTACACATAAACCCAAGCCTTTGTTGTATACACTACATGTGGCTGCCCTTCACATTTATTGAGTCATCCCACTAGTTCAGAAACAACTGAAAACAAACCCTGTTTTTTATAGCTAAATTATTCCCTATCAAATTCAAAACTGAAGATAAATTGCTCCGTGACATTATGTGTTTACTATGCCAGTCTAGCAATGTCAGTATAAGAAGACTTTCCATATGAGCACAAAACAGGCAAACTACATGTTCTTCACTTAACCACTAGACAAAAAGAATATAAGCCAGTGATTTACCCACAGTTCTCATGAACTGGTTTCCAAATAAACAGAGAAGCTATTTGGACCCTTTTCGAACAGCAAACAGCAAACTTAATTGTCACAATTCAGACCTGAAGCCTAATAAAATCTCATTGTTATGTCATCTCCATGTACTAATTAAGAATGTCCAGTTGCAACCTGAAAAGACCATTAAATGACAATATAAAGGTGTGATATTTTGTATTTTGAACCAAGCATATATTAACTGTTGAGTTCAGATTTTTTTAAAAAAAAAAAGCTAGTGTTTGTATTTATGAAAATCCATTCAAATGAAGACACATTCAAGGCAAGGACTTTGATTCCCCTCGTCTCGCACAGGAAATAAAGGTGATTTACAAGCAACTGGGGAGGAAAGTGACAAAGGGAGAACGCAGCCGGCGTAGCGTGACAGGCTGCATTTCTGATCATGCTAATAATAGCCCCAGACTCTGTCTCTCCAGCATTGTGCTGCGAGATATTTATAGGTCTGCGGGCTGCAGCCGCGGCCAGCAAAGGCACAAGGTTACGGAGGCAGCGCTCGGTCCGTGCGCATCGCTAACCCGCACCCCTGCTAGCGGTAAATAAAAAGAATTTTTTAAATTATTAACCGGCTTGCAGAATCCCTGATACAATTTCAGTTTTTTGTTGTTGTTGCCATTGTTACAGGGCGCGCAGTAATTGTACTAATCATTTGGAACCTTCCATAATTTGCACAAAGCCTATAATGGAAAATCAGCCTTTTCAGTGCTGGCTTTATTCACGATTTTGTCTTGGTTACATTCCCCTTGACGCCTGTCTAAATGTGGCCTCTTAGCGGGTATTTATGCTCCGCTGGGCTGTGGCGACAGGTCGCATGCACCCCCTCCCCCTTCCAGCTTGAACTGGCCATAGCTGAAGGACCCCCAGCTGGGGCCAATAATGATTCCTTGGCCCCTCTATTGTGTCACACTCCCCAGGTGCCGTGAGACCGTTTTACAGGGAAGCAATGAAGCAAAACCTCTGGCAGCAGCAGGGCGGCATGCATGAATAATGGTGGAGAAATAGTGGAAGTGTGATAGTGTCAAAATTTTGTTACTCCCGACAATGGAAGGTGGTATGTAGCAATGCAGCGGCACAACCTCAGCTGTGGCTAGTGATAGTCCAATGAAGCTTCATGAACCATTTGCTGTATTTTCTGACTCCACTAGATGGTGCTATCTGTTCCAAAAAAGCACTCAAATCATGGCCCAAAGCAAATCAAGAGCACCATCTAGTGGGTCAAAAAATTTAAGAAATGGTTCATGAAGCTCAATTTACCCATCACTAGCTGTGACTTTGATTGCTCACCTCCGGTTCCTGTTTGTGTGGGCTTCCTCCTGCAGTGCAACAATGTGGTTTGACATCTCTAAACTCCCCTTAGTTTGTGTCCTATAATGGACTGGCACCCATTGTGTTCCCTGTCCTATGCTGCTTGGGTTATGCTCCAGGCTCTCCATGACCCTGCACTAAATAAGCAATAATGAAAATCCCCGGCTGAAAATTGATTATACGATGAAATAAACCTGATACAAGGTTTCAGACCCCGGCAACACCTAATAGGGCAAGCAGGTACAGAAAATGGATGGATGGATGGATGGATGGATGGATATTAGTCATGTGCTATATTAAGTACACTTGCTGCTCATGCAAATATGCATTTGTCCCTGAAACTTTTTTTTTATAATCTCAGGAAATGCAATATAACATTCAAGTGTGAAAAATAATGAAGGCATTTTGACAGTCAGCCCAGTCAAAGCCAAGTCTCTTTTGCTTGGTCCCCGACTGTCTCTTTTGCTGCCATTTTTGCCCTTGGTAATGACACCGGCGTGTCCTCCTTGGACTTGGTGCTGCTGTCCAAACAACATGGAGCAGCTTCCGTATCATCTCTCCGTTTTTCCCTTTGAGAGCCGCGGCCAGGCTGGCCACGCCGATAGAACAGCGGGGTGGGTATTCTGGAGGGCTTTCTCTCTGGCCTGTTGTCCTGCCTGGGTCGAACCCTGGGTCTTAGCTTCAGCTTATAAATGGACGGCACCCTCTCTGGCCTCTTCAGCACCCTCCTTAGCTTAGAGGATGGGGTAATGGGTATTGAGGACTTTAGGGTGAGATCCCGGTATTGTGCCATGGTGAACACCTTAGGAGCCCTGTTTGCACTAGGATTAGTTACACCAAAATCTTGTCTTTCCTGTGTGGTCTCTGTGAGATCAGTGGACTCCACGCTGCATCCCATGGAGTTTTCGGTGCCTGGCTTAGAGGCCTGATGATTCCCTGCACGCAGCTCCAGGGTACGTGCTTGGATGTCGCTTGGGTACAGCAGAAATGACCCTGTTGCCAGGTCATCCATAACCACACTGCTCCTTCCATTAGAGTCAGTGGCAGCTCTGTCTTCTGCAGCAGGAAGGTTTTGACAAGACGGCTTAGATGGACATGGAACTGGGTCATTTGTGCAGAATCTGTCTCCCGCTCTCCCCATGCCACCACCATCCTGGCCACCTTCTAGGCTGCTGTCATCATCTGTGTGCGTGTTAAGCAGCTTTAGATTGGACAGAATCTCATGCTCCAAACTACGGTACAAGGTAGCTTCCTCTTCCGGACTGATGGGTGGCGGCGTGAAGAAGTACCTCTTACTAATTTCCCTGACACCCTCTGCTCTGCCAAGCTCTGGGGGGGCAATAAGGGCACAATTATTGTCGAGGGACTCTCCATATCTGCCTGGGTAAATCAAAGGATTCTTTGCTGAGCTTTGCAATGCCTGGCTTCTCGACCGTCTGGCTCCTTCTGTTATGGAGCTGTTTATAAGAAGTCCATAACTGCTGTACGAGCTGGGTGGGTGATCCACCAGACCCACATCTGCACCACTTTCGGCAGGTGTGAGGACACCGAGCAAGTGTTCCTCTGAGGCTTTGCTTCTCGACTGCTTAGTCGGGCTAAAGGTGCGAATGAAATTTGAAACCTGTAGAGGACGCCCAGCGCCCTCCATCAGGTGGACAGCTGTGGAGGGCTGCCTGGCGCTGGGACGGCTGCCCCTGATGGGGACGTAGCACCGTACAGGTGTGGACAAACCAGCCGAATAAAGTCCCCCCTTCCTGGACATGCCAATTGGACTGGGAACCCTGCTTTCAGCCTCGATATTTTGCGTATTTGAAGCACTGCCATGTCGTAACTTAGAGGTGAACTGGGATTTCGTCCAGGTTTCTGTGATCCGACTTGCTGGGTTGTGCTGTAGCTGGAAGGTGATGGTCCCTGCAGTCTTCTGGAAGACCAGAGGCGTGCTAGGGCGCTGGGTTTCAGGCTGGGGGGCGGGAGAGGTCTGAGTCGGTCGAGGAAGGCTACTAGCCAGGCGAGGAGAGGGAGACTGCCGGGTCAGTTTTCTGCCTGTCCTTGTGGAGGCGCTGTGTACACACTCTTCCTTGTCCTCGCGGGGCAGGTTTCTGCTGGGTGTGGGTGTGGCTGATCTTGCCCTCACTCTGAAATAACAAACACGACCTCATCCAACCCCAGGGAAAAATTACTAGGCGTATGCGAAATAGATTACATATGTGTTACTTGATCATATATATATTTCGGAAATAGTGCAAATAAACTGTGTGCATTTTACTGAACCAGTGACAAATAAACATCATATTCTCTATTTATAACATAGATCACAAAATAGTTTGCTGACCTTCACAGGATAATAAAAAGACGTTGAACCTTGATATTTCAGAGTAACTTACAGAGTAATACACAGAGTAATACACAGAGTAATATACAGAGTAATACACAATCAAAGCCACATTCGTGGGGACTCTGTTCCCGCAGATCCCCAGGATTTCTGCTGTTTGTCTACAGCCAGCCTGTCCTTCCTCTTCTTATGCTGCACTAAGCGATTTGTTTCTTCTTTTGAGAGTTTCTAAAAATATGATTTAAAAGAAACAGCATGCTGAGAAACTATAACCTGCCTGATGAAGGGCCGCAGACATTCGAGCGCCCAGTCCGCCTACTCACTCGTGCTTTCCCCAGTGTCACAAAGAGTTTCGCAAAAGCATATATATATCGCAGATGCGGTGGATTCGTACAAATAAAAATGCCACGTAGCACACGGTCCTGTTTGTTTATGGGGGGTCGGACCATGAGTAATGGCGGCTTTTTGCGCAATGCTTTGCCACCCTGGCAGTGAAAGAGGTCGCGACCGCGGCTTAATGAAATTATTCTCCATCGCCAAGGTGCGCTTCCGTCTAATGGACAAAATTGCTGCCTTTCCGCGCCTCTCCTGTGACTCACTAGCCCCCCCCCCCAAATCCACACAAACACACGTCCCCCTCGCTCACCTACCTGTCAGGAGAAGGTGGTCTTAGCCCCGCAGCAACCCTGGCACGTGGCTCGGGAGACGGAGACGGGCGCCGTGTCGGGCAGCGTGCGCTCCAGGGTCTGGTGCCGCCGCCCGCAGTTACCCAGGGGACGGGCGGCGGGGGCGACTGCGTGCGGCTCACCAGCAGCCTGGGCTCAGCCCCGCCTCCATCCCCGTGCTGCGCCGTCGGAAGAGTCCTGACCTCGTGCACGGGAGTGCTGGGATGCTGCAGTCTGGTCATCCTGGGCTGCTTGTGGGCTGTTGTCAGGTGCGTAGGACAGACATTAACTCTGCATGTCTGCAGGATAAGCTGAAGCTGAAGCATTTCAGCAGTGCTGTGCTTCACATGTACACATCTATCCAGCACTGGCTGTGCTTCACATGTACACATCTATCCAGCACTGGCTGTGCTTCACATGTACACATCTATCCAGCACTGGCTGTGCTTTTCCAGCAGCACAGCCATCTGTGGTTTCTCCTTCTTTCTCCCTCTATCCATCATCACTTGCCACATATATCCGCACAGAGAAAACAGTGACGTTTCCATTGAAGAACACAACCAAGATTTTTGAGGGCAAAATTAATTGCTTTTAGTTAATCCTATTTGCTGAGTATCAAGCACATTACAAAGCCCAGTGGGCACAGAAAAAGGCGTTGGCTGCCAGAATAGGTCCTGCTATTGGACCCTTAAGTAAGGTTTGCCCCGGAATCATGCTTATCAACATATCCAGCTGCTCCACAGCAGAATGTGCAGCTTGGTCATTTGTTTGGCTCGTACTGCATGGCATTCATATTAAATTCTTCTTTATTCCATTTGAAATCCTTTTCCCTCACAAAGCTCAGCATTAAATGAACAGCCAGCACATGCTGCAGAGGTCAATATATCCTCACTGTAAAGTGGGACGTTTGTCAAGGACAGACACCTCCCTGCTCTTAACTTTCCACTTTTGTGCAAATTGACTTCATTGATTTAAAAAAAAAACAAAACACACGCCACACATTGTGGAGACGGAATGCAAATGAGAAGTTAATAGCGGTCTGTGCTGGAACTTGCTGATTGTCTTTCACTAGAGGCTGGCATAGTGGCTCAGAGGGCATCGATGCTGCCTCATACCTCCATGGTAAAGGATGTGACTGTGTAGAGTTCTCACATCCCTTAGGGCAACTCTGTTACGAAAAGCATAGTGCCTTCAAAATAAACTGAATTGAATTGAATTGAATTGAATTGAATTGAATTGAATGTTCGGTAACACTTTCTGTGAATGCCATGTCGATAAGAAAATATAAACACATTCATAGCACATTATAATGCATTCAAAAAGCAGTAGAAACATGGCTCTAAATGCTTATAACAAGGCATAACACATTATAGCCATGTTTATTATACATTATGAATGCTTTATGAAGCTCTCATCTATAATGCACTAGTGATACCTTCATAGTGCAGTACAAAGCATCCTCGATGCCTATAGCAAAAATTATAATGCATTGTGAAGGTATCTATAGTGTATTATAGATAAGAGATTAATTGGAGCTTATGATGTATTATGATCAGCACTATTATGCCCTACGGCTGTCAATAGAAGATGCTGTAATGCTTTACTAATTCGTATGCCGACTATTACAATGTATTATGAAGGTATCTATAGTGCATTATAAAGGAGAGCTTTAAGTAGAGTGTTATTGAATGTTCCTCCCGTCTCATAAGCGTTTCCTCCAGTTATGACACTTTCTTCCTACACTGCAAAGACAGGCTAACTGGCGTTCCTATATACCCTGTAGTTTGTGAGCATGTGCATGTATGCAAGCCCTGCAATGAACTGGCTTCTCATTTAGGGTGCACAGGTATGTATGGACCCCTACGTAACTGCATAAAACACTAAAATGGTACCATTTGTTGTCTAGGAGTGGCTCCTGGCCCTCTGTTGGTCCCGTGCAGGATATGTAGTTGAAAGATGGATATAGACTAGAGCCCTATTATTCAAATCACGGTCCTCGAGGTCCGAGCACTGCTGGTTTTCCAGCCATACTTTACCTGTGAGCCAGGTATGAAGCATCTGACCAATCAGAATCAGTAATTATTAAACTAACTACCTGGGAGAACTGAAAACAAGGTCCAGATTTGGAATCGAGGTCCAGATTTGAAGAGCCCTGCACTAGCGGAATGATGTGGGAAAGACTGCCCTCTATTGGAGGATCTGAGCCAGTCATACATTATCTAATATGAAAGACCACAATCAACGGCTCTCATTTTATATAAAAATTCTCACCTGCATCATCAAACCAAAATACAGACACCTTGCTTATTTTAATTTTAGATACATTGATAAAACCGAAATGTATGAAAAGATTTTGTGTTAGAAGAATGAATCTAGAAAAAACTCTGCTTTGCTTTGTCTATTAGTAAATAAAATTTAACTCTATATGGAAAATGGAAAAAAAATAATTAATATTAGGTTGGTTCTAATTTTCTGTCAGTATGTCACTTATTCATTTCATTTAAGTCATTATAAGGTATAATAATCTTTTTCTGACAAGCACAAATATTTAATCACTCAAATATGTTATCAGTATGTTGGGGGATGGGTGTTTGGGTGGGTAATTCCTGTTCTGCAGACATGTGGATTGTGCTGTGATTACAGAACAATAAGTCACCCCTCAGAACATTCCAGTCATTTCTAAAGGCCGTGGCACTGTTGCCCTTGGTAATTGAGATTGCCCACCGCTGATATATGGCTTGTGTGAAAGACTCATCCTTTGTGTTTTATGGGATGTGACTCACTGAGAGATGTGCAACGGCACGGGTCATGTTTATCCAGGTAGTGCTCCAGCGTGTCCCAGCCTCCGCCCACCCGCACCATCACATGACTTCTTAGGATCTGCAGGGATACCGACATCGTTAGGGCCTCCTCTTGCACATCTCCACAAACACAGCTGAGAGAGATCACTTTCTTTGCCAGAAATACCTTAAGGCAGTGTTTCTCAAGTCAGTCCACGGTCCACGTTTTGGCTCCCTCCCAGCTCCAGGGAACAAAAATGTGGACTGTCTGGCAGGGAGCTGAGAGAGAGAGCAAAAACATGGACCGTCTGGGGGTCCCCAAGGACTGGTTTGAGAAACACTGCCTTAAGGTATCGAAAAAAACACAGCAGTGTACCTGACAGGAGGGCAAAGAATGAAAAACTGTTATTGAAAACTGGCATATGATGAAAATGGGCAAAAAAATGAAGGAAGCAGATTTTGCTGTTATACCCGCACAAAAATGAGAGCGCTGGAGTCGCCCGCTCTGTACCTGCCCTCTGACACTTTGGCCATGGGGAACTGGGCGGGGCATGTGCAGCGGCTTACGAGATGCTGGACCTGGGCACATCACAGGGAATACACACTCACAGACATATACACACTCACAGATATAAAACACAATCACAGGCATATACACACAGAGACACACACACACATACACACTCACAGACATATACAGACAGAAACACACACATATATACACACTCACAGACATATACACAGAGAGACACACACACATATACACACAGACAAAGACACACATATATACACACAGAGACACAGACACACACACACACACAAAGGGTGAGAACTTATTTCCTACATAAATCTCCTCTCCTCAGGGTCTTAACAGCCTCCTTTGAAAATCATACATATGATGACCAGCGGCAATGGCTTCATTTTACATCTAGTAAATCATCTTGGCAACATTAATATTAAGAAAAAACTTTCTCTTCTTGTGTTCCAGGAAATACTTCAGACCAAAAGGAAACATGCTGTCCTATAACAAGTGAAGAGGACATGGTACTGATCTGATGGACACTTATTGTGTAGCGAATGTGCGATGTCATGCATCCCATCAGAGAATCAAACACTAGCTAGGGCGACATTAGGCCAACAAAGATTTTCATGAGTTTAGAAAATACAAAAGCTCAATTATGGGAGCATGATTCATGTTTTATTTGAACTCAAGCCTTCAAACAGTGTATAATTTAATATCTTATGCTGATTACATCAAGCCTGTAGCCAGAAACAAATTTTGGGGAGGGGGACTCTGCTGATTTTCATTACTAGCTGCATGTCTGATTACTTGCTTCTAATAATAATAATTATTAAGTTTATTCAATGCATCTTTGTGGCATTTCATACATCCTACAAAATGCTCCCTTACATGCTATAGGAAAGCATCACCTTCAGCTAAATTTGTCTCACTAGCTGTTGAGTCGGGTTCTGCAGAAGTTCCACAAGCCTCACCATCTCATCCAGGTCCCTGAAGTCAGACAGCTGGCTCCTAGCTCGCCGTACTTTTGGCACGCCCCCTAGTGGCAAATGCAGCTCTTCACAGATCTCCTCCTCTATCTCCTGCTCCAGCTGGATCAGAACCGGCACTGCCATCCCAAAGCGAGAAGCCCGCCGGGCCACCTCCAGCAAGCACAAGACGAAGTTCTTCTCATTTTTCCGCAGAACCAGGTCATCTGTCTCGAACATCAAGACATCTGCAGAACATGGAGAGTGAATATGCCTAATCACGCCCACAGATTCTGAGATCTGTGATATTTCCATGTGATATATTCACATAAAAAGGTACCCCAAAGATGAGATGCCAGACTGAGCACAATAAGGGCAATTAGAAGACACCTGCAGTATCCAGAGGAAACCCAAACACAGCTCCCAGAGTGGGAACTGAACCCACAACATCTGAAATGTCGAACCACAGAATTATCCACTGAATCACCATACTATCCCCATAACACTGACGGTGGGCATTTATGCTGAAACTGTCTATCAACTCAGATATACCACGTGGGACCGCAGGTTTTTGGAGCCGCCTGGTGGTCAAATAACAGACTGCCGCAAAAGCTCTGAAGAAGATATATAAGTTTCGTGTCTTGGAGCAGCGTATGATTATTCACGCAATTAACATTAATTAGTAATATTAATTAACTCGACTAGATTAGTTAATCCAAAGTACAGGATATCTGATGGGCCTGCAGCCATCCAGGACCGTATTTTATTCATATTTGTTTATATTGTATCTTTCGCACTATGCATGCAACACAAGACAACCCAATTTTAAAGTAAAAATTAACTGCGAAGAAGGAAACTGCACAGTAAAATGATCACGACAATGCTAACAGATGTTTTCCCCTTGAAAACCCCACGAAGTTTGTATTCTATCGTTTCTAAGAGACCTTCAAAGCAGTGAAATATAAAGTTAATTAAAACATAAAACATGAACATAACTGCTGTTCGTTATCTGTTTATTATCGGGTAATACAGGAAATACGACTGACATACTGTTTGGGCTAATGTAACGGGTACAACTATAAGTGAAAATTGATAGTATTGAATAAAACGTGTTACAGTGCATCGCTCACTCACCTTTGATGCCCATTTCTTGTCGACACCAGTTTATAAAATTTGATATATTATCTCGGGCCAGGAAGGTGGCCGGTTGTGCCGATTCGACGTAGGTGACCCCAGCTGTGGGCAGATGCGCTGTCGGCGCCTGGTGCCCGAGCTCCCTTAAGAAGTCTGCAGCGGCCCGCGTCGCGTTATTGGCATGGCGACACAGGACGGCACCGCTTTCAAGGACCTCGAAGAAATTGATCACTGTGATGCTGATGCCGTAAAGATCCCTCAGCCACTCCGCCAAGTCTTCTTTCATGGCATATAAGTACTCCTCACTGGACTTGAAGGGCTTGATACTCCTGTTGCTGTAATGCTGAATGACGGACATCCCGAGCGCCTGGCTAATATTCCTATGAAGTTCGAATAATCTAAAAATCGATTTCGAAAATAAGCCGCGCGTTTTGTTCTTCTGACTGTCGAACAACGATCGATGTGATTTCAAAGAGCTTGACTTTACATAGATTAGTTATTAAAGTAACAGAACTCTATATTAATCTGTGCAATTAATTCAATCGAGTACGAAAAAGAACCTAGAATTAGCCCAAAATTTACTTAAAGTCCAGCCCCGTGGCTCCGTCATCACCAGAATCACACACAGAAATGGTATAGGGTTTGCTCCATTGTGCGGGGTGAAGACCAAATTTGTTTTGTAGCACAGTATACAGGGATGAGCGGCTCTCCTTGGTTACCCGATTACAGGGTAGCTATAAACAGTCATCTTAACCATTTCATGCCCAGGAGCCCCTTACCTCAAGGCTGCAAGCCTCTCTCTGGTTAGAAGCAGCCATTAAGCTTTGTTATCAGATTTTCCCAGACTAATACTAAAAAAACACACAGAATCCAAATTACAGGGTTAAGATGTGCAGGACCAGTACAACCAGTGTGCAGTCGATCATAAGTTACTCCTTGTATTAAAGGTACGACACACATTTGGAACAATGGTTAATACGTTTGAGCCAGTGTCTGAGAAATGAATTTTAACCCAAAACTGGACTGCCAGCCTTATGAAATGGACAAAGGACGAAATGTTAAAACACACACCATTTATTGGCTTCATAATTTACATTTTGAGACTGCAACGAGCAACTGCACCAACAGCTGCCAGTCACTGTCAACTTAAACTCTGGGAGCCTCTTGCAGTGCTCAGTGGTTTCACAACACGATGCTAGTGCCACAGCTCTGTCCATTCACTTGCTCAGCACAAAGTCCTCTCCCTTTTTGATGGAGGCCTTCAACTCGCCCAGAGCCTCGGCCACCAGCTTCTCCTCGAAGGCTGATAGCTTACCAAGTCCTAGGTTCTTCTCAATTCCTTGTTTCTGGGTAAGAGGGATAGAAGAGTCACTCAATCATTCCTCTCCAGTTGCAACTGTCATATTGCATCACTGTATATACACTTATCCCGCACCGTCAGAAGTACCAATTTGTACCTTTGCTAGTCACTGGGACTGTACCCTAGCTGTAGATAAATGTACCTTTTAAGTCTTTTAAAAAAAAAAAAAAAGGTATAGAAACTGGCCAAGGAACAGCCAATGTACAAACATTAATGTACCCCTAACGGTACGTAAATGTTCCGAGTCGAAGTGGAAACAGTCCCATCAATGTTTAAAAATTACTACCAGCAAAGGTGTAAGGATTTTTAAAAATAAAAAACTTAAGTAACTTTAAACAAGCTGTATTCAGTTTAGAAATTTGCTCCCAATTCCAATTTTAGTTGGTGTGTTAAACTAGTGTTTGGAAGATGGATGCAAAAGTCTTAAGAACCAAAACTGGCAAATAAGCTGGAATGCCTGCTGAAAGCCATCCATGCCTCTGCACTCACCCCAAGGAGGAGAGGGGTGGAGAAGTATTTGCACTCTGTTTCCTCAGACCTCACAAACGCACACTCAACAACCCCCTCTTTCCCATTCATAGCGTCCAGCAGGGAGAATGTGAATCTCGCCCCAGCATAGGCCATTGAGAGGGTGGCAGAACCTGAAGGGAAAAAAAAGAAACAGAACCCATGTCAGAGCCTCCAGATCTACAAAATTAATGGCTGTACCCTTAAACCACCACTTTCCAATCCATTCCTCAGGGACCTGCAGCCAGTCCATGTTTTTGCTCCCTCCAAGCTAGGAGGGAGCGAAAATGTGGACCGTCTGCAGGTCCCTGAGGAGCAGACTGAGAAACACTGCCTTACAGTTGGCTGGACTTACCTGCCCCGGCCTTGGCCTTCACAACCTCAGTCCCTGCCTCCTGGATACGGCCTGTCAGTGCAGTGAGTGTATCGGTAGGGAACTCGACTTTGGGAGTACACTGAGGAAGTTTAAAAATGTGACCATGAGCCAGAACATTCAGAACCAGACTAAACTCAACCTTGTGCTACAAGATTCTTTTCTATACCAGTAAATACAGAACTTCACTTCCAAACAAAATTCTCCAAACTACTCCCAACACCTCCCCCTACAATCTGGTATAATCTCAATTTAAGAATTAAGCTACCCTACTTTTTTTTTTTTTCTTTTTAATTGTCCAGTTCACCTGGGAAATGACTGGAATGATTGTTTTTCCTGCATGGCCGCCAACGACGGGAACATTGACACGAGCGGGATCCAGACCCTGCAAGAGAAACCCCAAGTTACTCCACAATGACACCCCTCCCACCTCCAATGCAAATTGTTCACATACCTGGGATTTACATTTCGAAAGGATTCTCAATGCTACAGCAGGATTTAGGTTGACCATATTGGCAAGGATACCACTTATGTGTAAAACGTAAATCGGCACTCAACCTGACAATACCACAAAGATGTGAAGCAACTTCAGTGGTTTGATTTCTACCTATAATCTGATCTCCAGAGCCATCTCTGCTTACCTTGAGTTCAGCCACAAACGTGTTTGCCCTGACGATATCCAAAGTTGTGACGCCAAACACTCTGTTGGGATTGTAAACGCCATGCTTCTTCAGAATTTCAGATGCAATGGGAATTGTAGAATTTACCTGAAAAGGAAAAAAAAAAAAGAAAAAAGAGAAAAGAAAATGGCAGAAAGATGAATACCATCCAGTAAGATATTAATTCTGGTCTAGAAAAACACTGAAGATAGTAACTTGCCACAGGTAATTAAGCCAGACATTTAATTACACAGATACTGTATGTAGCCAATGTCGCCGATACAGAACCTCCAACATGTCTAGTGACGAGAATAAAGCTCTGAAGCATTAATCTTCAGTTGCCACTAAAACCCATCCAAATTGCATTCTCATGAAGACACATGATTATGATGAGGATGCACTAACTGCTTAGACCATAAGTTAAGCCCTTTATACTCAACTTCAATGTGTGAAACACTGAGGTAAGTATTAAGTTTAGCAAGTGCCCAGCCAGCACACAACAGGGTCAGCTAAGCCCAGGCTGTACTGTTGCAGATGAAATCAAGGGCATCAATGTCAAACACCCTTTGCAGTTGTATTGGCTGCATGCCAAGAAGTACAAGACCAAAATGTACAACATGCAGCCACCATAAGAGTCTACCCCTCTGACAAAGGGCTACAGCTTATGAGGCACCATTACCATGTGCCCTACAGTCAACACCTCATCACTTAGGAAACCATAAAGAAAAGAAAAAAAAAAAGCTGAACCAGACAAGGTAACAAACCCCCACAGTCACCCGGCAGTCCAACCTGATCAGGAACACGAAGCTACTCACAGGGTTGGAGATGACACACAACATAGCTTCAGGGCAGTTGCGGGCGCAGGCATCAACCAGGGTGGCCACGATGCTGGCGTTGGTATTAAACAGATCATCTCTAGTCATTCCTGTGGACCAAAATCAGTTNCAGTTGCGGGCGCAGGCATCAACCAGGGTGGCCACGATGCTGGCGTTGGTATTAAACAGATCATCTCTAGTCATTCCTGTGGACCAAAATCAGTTATTGAATATCTGTATAATACCCTGTTCCAGTGTTTACCCAAGCCAGTCCACGTTTTTGCTCCCTCCCAGATTGGAGCAAAAATGTGGACCGTCTGCGGGTCCCTGAGGGCCAGATTGGGAAACGCTGCTCTAGTCCAATGCAGAGAAGTTAAGTCTGAATAAAATTTAGGAGAGGTTTCATGCTAGTTTGTTCTCTGTATCAGAACACCTTTGTGTACACATTGCATGTTTTATAAAAAATGCATTTTATATAGTCATACTTCAGAAGGCAATTAAAATGCCAAGTTTATCAAAGCGGTAAGTGACGGGAGGTCACGACCTGCTCTACCCACCAGGCTTCCGGGGTACTCCAGCGGGGATAACCACAACTTCACAGCCCTTCAGGGCAGCTCCCAGCTGATCTGGCCCAATGTAGCCTGAAGGACAGAGTCGAGTCAAACTGATACATTTAGGAAAGCAGATCCATTTTGTAGCAGGCATTGCCCAATAAGTCTCAATATGAATGGATATGCAGCACATCAAGATGTACCAGGACAAAACCCTCACACTGCATTATATAATGCATCTTTTCAGATGCCAGAACTTCAATATCAAAGAGATTAATGATTATTTTTAACTTGTTTGCATTTTTTACGTCTAATTTTGTCAACTTTCATAAAAACCTAACCTACCACCCTAAACTGCAGATTCCAGTCAACACCAGCTTGGAATTTGGTCGCAATCACTCACCAGTGACCTGGGCCCTGGTCTCGATATGGCTCAGGTCGGCAGCGACACCAGGGGTGTGAGCGATATCATAAAGAGACAGCTGGCTCACTAGGGGACTGTTCTTCAATAGCAGGGACAGGGGCTGGCCGATGCCACCTGACGCACCCAACACCGCCACCTTGGCATGGTTCTAAGGAAGCACAAAACACACTAACCTATGAACTTATTATTTCACTCATACATTAAAGAGGTGTTATCTTAATACTAGGGCAAGTGATAAGTGCATCTATAAAATGAGGCAATTTTACAGATATTATACACACACCCACTGCCTTCCATATTACAACATACACTCATGAAACACTGCAACAAGAGACATGACACATAAGAATGAAAGCCAGTTTTTGAAATCATAGAAAGATGAGTCAGTGGGACATGATTTATTAGACAATAAATTAAGATGATTGTGCATTTTCCCCCCAATTACTTACATTGGCTGAACAAACCCATTTCAAACCAGAGTGGGCAACAGTGACACCAAACATTTTAGAATCCAAGTTAACCAGCAGAGGTAACCCATCCCAGTGAAGAGAGCAACATCCCAGGGATAAAAGGGAACACCTAAATAAAATACTCCCCTACCAATAACCTAAGGCACTAACACTTCAAGAACGTCAATAATCCTATTCCACACGATGCAAGATACCAGGAAAAGTTCACTTTCTGAATCGTTGTTCTAAATGACATATGGGCAGACAGAATGTGAAGAGGGCGGTCACATACGTCGTTGCGTAATTCAGACACGAAGCTAGAAGAATGAATGAAACAGGCGTACTGTAAGCGGCCCTGGGATTCGAACCGACGACCTCTCCATCACACGTGGGTACGTGCCCTTCGTGCAGACGTCATTATACAGAAAAAGGAATTACTCCAGTCATATCTTTAACCATTACAACGAAAAATGATTTGATTTGTCCACATCAGGTGCTCACGAATATAAAGGAAGCAGGCCTTAAAGGTCAAATGGTGGATTAAATCAACTAAAAATTTAACCGGCTATCGCGACTTGATTGCTGATACCACAGGACGAGGTAATTTTGGCTGGATGGTACTTAAACGTCACTAAAGATAATTATCAGAAGTCAGCCACGATCATTTTCAACAGGCCAGAGAAGAGACGCAGGTACGCAAACTGGAGTTTGGGCCGCGGGTAAAGAAATAAACGAGCCCGATCCACATGTATGACCTTCCGGCAGAGCAAAGCCTAGAATTACTTCTCGGGTCAGCTATAAATACGACGTTGCCGGAAAGACAAACTGTGTACCTACAAGACACTTACCCAAGATATGGTAAACATTAACGGGCAAACCCAATGTCTGCAACGTAGCCAGTTAAAGAAGCAAATGCAGTGCAGCGTTATTACATTACAGGAAAAAACTGGATACAAAATGAAGTTTTTAATCTTAATTAACAAGACGTGTATTAGCTGCATAACTAATATTTACTTTAAAGTACCGGCAATTTACCTGGGAAGAGGTGGACAGGGTCCGAGTGATGTTAAGAGCTGGTCGTGCAACGCGGGAAAACATTGTGATAACTGGTTTGCTGTGAAGTTTAAAACAGATTCTCCTTCGTTAATGACACTAACGTCCTCTATTGCGGCTCCCGGTCGACAGCGAACGTCCCTCGATCTACCTACCTTAACTGCGGCTGACGCGTCGCTTCCACACGCTGCCTCTATACGATTGGTTAAATAGTGTCAATTCAAATTGTGATTGGACGAATGAACGGTCAACCAAACTATGTCCATTTGGAGCTGAGCGTGAAAGCCGTGACTGCTCAGACTTCTTGGATCCTTCAGTTAGGTGCTCATGAATTTGTCATTGGTCTCCTTTTCGATGAGGCGGGGTTAAATGGAATTATCCAGAAAATTACATTTTCTGATATACAATGAAAAATAACTTTTATTAACGTTCCTTAAAATCGTTATTTTAGTCTGTGATTGTTGTTCTTCAAATAATGTATCGCATGTATGATAGAATTGTTAATACAACGACTGCTATGCATACGTATGGTCACTACAGTTATGGGGCGCTGTATCTGTACAACCTCAATGCTGCGCGAATCTATGCTTTGCCTGCATGCAATGCACGTGTACTGAGATCACACATTTCTGTTGCTTTTAAATATTGGCACTTGACCAGCGTACTCATTTAGGCATAAGTGCTCAATTTGGGATTGTGTAAAGTTTTCGATATTGATTTCTTAAGATATCAATTCGATGTTAAGAGTAAATCCAATGAATTACAATTGTAGAATGTTCTCAAATTCAATTATTCCAATGTCTGTCTGCTTCAACATTCCAAACCGTAAAACTTTACAAACCAGAAAATTTTACAGATTTGTTTTATATAATAAAGATAAATGTCATATAGTACTATAACATCTACTTTAGTTAGTATAAGCAAGTACTATGTATATATGGTGGGACAGAACAATATCTTACTGTTACACGTATATTTCAACACATTTGGTGTTAGTATCATAATGTTTATAATATTAACACCAAAAAATAGCTCTTTTGGAATTTCCTTTGTGATCAATAAAGCGCTGCTACTACTGTATTGTTTCAAGGAAATGTTGTTTCTCAGTACACTGTTTGTTGTCACCCACAATGTCTTTGTAAGATGGGGCACACTATTAGTGACATGCATGTTAATGTCATTTTTTTAAAAATTACTGTTTAAACAGTCCTTGTTTAGTTTTAGGATGGGAGTAGAGTTTGCATGTTTTCCTTGTGCTGCATGCTGGGCTCCTCCTGCAGTCCCAAAACACATGGTTTGGGTGAATTGGTGACTATAAAATTCCTATGGTTTGAGAGTACATCCTGGTGATACACTGGTCTCACATCCAGACCGTCCTTACAGTGTTCTCTGTGGTTACTGTGGCAGGCTCCAAGATTACCATACTATAATGAATAAACTGCTATGGAAGGTGGATGGATGTATAATGGTTATTTATTAATAAAACTCATCATATACTAGGAAGCGGCTTATCTTGGTAATGTATTAAAAACAAAATATTTTTTTATGATGTTTTAATATTTTAATATTAAAATAATATGAATGTTATAATATTTTAGATGTTAAGGTAGGAGTTTATAAAAACCAGTGTATCTGTCTCCCTGTTTTATCCAAACTACTCTCCAATACCATCTTGGTGTTGATTATTGTATTACTATAAACATACTTCATACATAATCTACTAAAATAGCCTTAAACTTTTGTATTTGGAGTGTTATGTTTTAGTTTGATTTTAAATCAAGCAAAAATAACTTATTTTCACAGGCTACCTTTTATAGTTTTCCCATTCAGAATGATCTGCAGCAGAAAAAAACCACGTTTTAAAATTAAGGTTTTTTGTTTTATTTTAATTGAATGGGGGGCAAGATTATATTACTTTAGTTTTTAGATTATGGTGATATTCAATTTTCCCACAACACAACTGCAAAAAAGAGGACAAAGTATGACATGAAGGAAATGTAACACATTTCAATCTGTACGAGTAGAATAATTTCAATTTACCTGTTAGGGCCAAAAGGCTGATTTGCAATGAGGTTGTTTTTCAAAGTTTGTTTTCATATAGTGTTCCTTAAGATGTAAACCTTTTAAAATAATCACTCATTCCGTTAGTCCAGTGTCTAAATTAATTGTATCATAAAACGCTGGCCACAACACGGTAAAGTACATGACTTTCAGAGGGTTGAAAATTAACTTATTGTTCAGCTTTTACAAATCATATTTTCAAAAACATTAGCATTCAAAATGCACGACTGGGTTACGAGTTATTGCAATTTAACACCATTTTGAAAAAACTATTTCACTACAGAACACATTCTGATTTAACACCTTCACTAATCTTTCAATCTTACTTAAGCAATATTTTGATTAATTTTGATAGTTCAGGCAAATTAAGTAGATTGGCAATTTAAAATAAATATCATACATGTCATGTAGGATTATTAAATGCAATAACTGGATAAAGATCATTTAAGAGTTATATTTTAACTACAAATAAATTAAACATATAAAACAGGTTAGGAGATCCACAAAATTACTCTCAATATTAAAAGGCTTTGAATGTATTTTTAAACCATCAATCTATGCCACACATAAAAATAAATTCAGATTTATAATGCAGATTTGACTTATCTAAAGATATGTTGTACTACTAAGTATTATTTTTATTTTTTCTTGAACTCGGTGAATGTGAAATTGTACTAGAAATAATACTGATAATTGTATCAGAACATTGCCCTTAACAGAGATGATATTTTACTGTTAATTCTTTGCTAACGAATACGGAATAACAAAATATAAGCAAGTACTATATATATATATATATATATATATATATATGTGTGGTGGGACAGAACAATACCTTACTGTTACTTTTGTTTCAACACATAGAACATTTATGGCAGCCTATTGATTATGGTATTAACACCAAAAAAGAACTTCTAAAGACCTTTGCATCATTGTCCACCCTTAACTTTAATTGAACTCATGCATAGCATTAGCACAGTATATTAAAATATGATTAATATCCATGCATTGTTTGAGGTGATTTTGTTTATGTTTATTGCTGATGCATTTGTTGAAAATGACACTGTACTTCTGTCTATAAAAGTTTTAAAAGGAAAAATAAATCATAGGATTTTGTATTTGGAATTATAGAAATATTTGCTTATATACTTTGCATATGTTTCAACATGTTTTATTCAGTGCATACATAGGATAAACAACTAGAGATCGTTTTATATAAAAGCGATATATATTCATCGTTTGTTATGGCCATATATTAAATATAAATATTAACTAACAAACCCAAGAACCAAGATAATCCTGAGAACTCAGAACAAAATCATAAAACAACATTATTATATAAACTAGGCATTAAACGTCAATATTAAACATTAAAGCATTAATGTAGCAACATACATACATATTATTTTCAAAGCTACTAAATATTTAAACCAGTTCAAATGAGTAACTATTCTATTTAGTTGCAGCACTGGAACCCCCTTTTAATGAAAGTGGCATTTTATAGAGTTTAAAAAAGGGAACTTATATATTTCATCATTTTAAGCACAAAGATAAAATAATCTTACCCTTGATTATTTTGTATACCAATGTAATGGTAAATCCTGGAACTTCACAAAACAGTTGACTGATCAGTCCCTGCACTGGATTTGATTAACATTTGGGCAAAGTATTTATCTGACAGCTGTATATGTTAACAGATACCGCGGGCTGCAACCTCAAACACAACTACATTAAAGATATCACCAAAACTAGTAATAGAACATGTTTGTTGTCCTTGAATAAATGTGAAATTTTACGTACTAAACGACGTCAATAATCACGCGTAAATAATACAGTGGTTTCTTGAAACTGGAAGCCATTACCTTATAACAGTCTTGAATACTAATTCTGATTTAAACCATAAAACTGTTCACGTGAAAGGAATCCTGTAGGCCAGTGTAGGGAATCTAGAAAACGCAGAGATATAGGCAAGATTGCAACATTACAACACATCAATAAGCAAATCAATTTCACAGACACCGACAGCCAGCGCCATAAAATATATTAACATCACTAAATTATTAAATCACACATTACACAAATTAATAAAGATGAATCCCGAAGTACGTAAAGTTCAGCAAACACTCCAGGTTTTTTAAACCAGCCTTCAGCACTGAAACAAATCCAACAGCCGCAGACTTTGAAACCGCCGTCCAATTACTGTTTGAAGACGAGTTCGTCCAATCAGCATTCAGAACGCCATTTTATGAGCTCTCTCTTTTACAACACCCACTTCCTAGACCGCTCTATCTCTCAAGTGGCCTATCTCCTGACACTATTCCTGACAGCTAGCCAATCACAGCAGCTGTTACATGAGGTACTAGCTTTATTTTTACGGGGCTGCCTAAGGAATGTAAACTATTCAACATGGAGACAGCAGTCAATAAGCTGGAGGCGATGGTAAGCGCAGTTTTATCCTAAAATAATCACTAAAATATGAAGAATTGTTTAATCTCGTTATAACGAACACGTTTCGAAGAACCCATGTTTTGTTGCCAATAGTTACTCGGGCAGCTGACCGAAAGAAAAAGGGTTTTACGAATTGTACAAAGGAGCAACATTTTCTTTTCTGTCTTTCCCATCACACGACTCGCAAGCCAAAGGGTGGGATTGGGGAGAGGGGAGAATATAATGAAAACGGAAGTGAGACGATGGCCAGCATTTTGCGTATCGGTGATAGCTATAGCTCCCAAACTAGCGCCCCGATCCTGCCGAATGCGTTTTGGAATTGGGGCGAACGCGAGGGAAAGGGGCTGAGCGTGCGGGAGGCCGTGCCCGTCTCCCACGCGCACTCGCTCGTCGTGACCGTTAACATTTAAAAAAGTGAGTTTGTCCGCACTCGGCGCTGCGGGTGCCTTCATGTCGCATGGCGGCGCGCACTTTCCCAACTACTCCCCGAATTTAGGTACGTGCGCGTATTTCATGAGGCTGCTTCCACCGACCAAGGCTCGTAGCCAGCCAGTTACCTGTTCAGGCAAATTCTGCCGAAATATAAACCTGGTTTCCAGCTCCTGTTTGTGTATAATGGGTAACGTCCCAAAGGTCTATGCAGGTGCAGTTTGTCATTTAATGTTTATTTTTCCTCCCTTTTTGTTTTTGCATAAACTTGCTTTAAAGGAAAGACACCACCGTGCATTCTGTCTGTCCACTGCCCCTTTTATGTTGTACTACTGATGACAAAGTAATGAAAGCAGTGCAATGTTAAAAGGGCATTGGCCAGGGATTGTTCCCAATTAGATAATGCCAAAAAGGACCGTGCAACTTGGCAAAAAAAGAATCAATAGACACCAGATGTGCTGTTTACAGCTGCTCTGACTTTATTGCACTACTGTATTAGACAGCTAGCAGTGCAATAGTATTGTCAAAGCGTCTGAAAGCAGCCAAACACCAGTCAGAGGAGGCTGCAGGAACCGGGAAAGGCTTTAATGTAAAAGGTGTAGATGTATTTGTGTGGCACAAGTAGACGATTTGTACTGACGGTTTGTTTGACTGCTGCGATCAAGTTTGGAGTTCTGTATTTCACGTAGTCTGCGGTAGTGCAAACACGTGAATGACGAGATCATTTGATTTACTGTATGCTACAGTCAATATGCAGGATTAATGCAGTATAGCTCAATTAGCGTTACATATAAAGGGGAAGCTTCTCGTCAGTCTATCCTTTTGTGTAATGCGTACTTCTTGACGTGTCCTAAGTCCTGAAACCCTATCAATATTGTCTCTGCTGTCCGCTGTTTTCAGAGTAGTGCAATATTGCTTATAGGGTGTCAGTGTTTGGGCAGAGCCCGATCTCAGCCTGATCGTCGCCGCTCCCAGCCTCATACTTTTGTTCACTTTGCAAAAAAAAAAAAAAAAAGCCAAAAACAAATGTTTGAATTCTTAAGATACTATGCTGAGTTCACGTAATGTGTTTAACTTAACAAAAACCACAAGCATATTTGGAAGAAGCTGAAAGCAATTTATGGACTAAAAAAGCTTTTTCATTATCCAAGTGCACGTGGTTTGCTAGGACTTAAGCATATTCATTTTGTCATTGGTGTACCTGTGGTCTTTGCATAAAATGGAAAACTAAACGGTATTAAATAACATGAGGTTTGTTCAGGTTTTAAAAAACTATGTTTATATGCATAATACAGAAATTAGCTGGTCATTTGAGCTCCCATAATATGTGTACATTTCAGCAACACATAGCAATATGAAAATGCCTAGAGTGAAATGTAGTTGTGGAACTAAATCTGCGTACAAAACGTGTGGGCCCCTGGATGTACTCTGTCCTGCATACAGCTGTTCTTCGCCTTTCCATGGCTGTTAATCACGCTCGCCTAGCACTGTGGCAGAGTAACGGGGCTTGCCGTTTGTTATGCACGGTTTCCTCTCAGTTCCAGAAAGCGGAGGCTGACCTGGAGTACGTGGAAAAACAGCTAAAGTTCGAGTTCATGTCCACCGTTCCGGGGAACGGGGAGGCGCAGGTAAGGCAAGTCGGGTGACAGGACCTCGTTAAAAGCCTCCTATTCTGCTGGCCATGCGGCCCACGCTGACCGATCCCCTTAGCAAAAATGAAGACCTTTTCCTTATTAAAACCCCCGGTTTGCCGTAGTACAAGCACAATATGTCACAGTGTGTTTAAAACCGACGATCATCACGATCAGAGTAGCACCCGAACAGATTAAGGCACCACGGACTGCCCAACCTGTCACCAGCGGTATAAGAAGTATAAGCGCATGAGACCCCAAACATGGCCGCGCTGTCTGCGGCAAATACGACGGCATGCGACGTCCCAACGCATGTGACAGTAATTAACTGCAGGACTGCCGACTTTGGTCAGCTGAGATTTTCAATTCGAGACAAGTCTGCACACAGATGCATATGAATTTACATGTGTGTAACAGTTTATTACCTTGTAAATAGTCTGTAAGCTTTGCAAGCCTCACCAGCGCTTTTACTGTAGCTAATTTTAGGTTTATAATGGAATAATATAGATTTGCCGTAAGATTTCTTGCGTGAGCGCGAGTGTCTGAAAGCGTGAGTGTCACGTCAGATACCTGACAGCTGGCAATACTGTATTAACTGCATAAAATTATACGCTGCCCAAAGGGTATAAAGATATTGTGCGGTTTTAAAGGAGCAGCGGGGTTAAAAGGGCGGCATAAAAAATAATATATAAAAATGTGTGTGTATGTATTTGTGTATACACTTACAGAATTGAAAAGCTAATTTTTATTGCACAATAAGCAATCAGAATTAAACGACACGATACCGCGCGGCCTACGTAGGACCGCTGTAACACCACATCAGTATACATTACATTTACAATGCATTGTAATTTACCATAAGCGGATACGATAACCCACAAAATGCAAAGCATTAATAAATGCCTTATGCATAACATGGTCCGTTGTCACGTAGCCTTCCCGCTTATTTCAAAAGGGAAGGGGTATTAAACGTTGGCTGTGAAACTAAAGCATTGCTCATAGCTACTAAATATACGGCATTCCTTCGTGGCTTTTTAAAAACTTGCCCTTTCTCGGTATCGGATATAATTGGTTTCGCAAATGGCGCATTTGGGTGCATTTTGGAAACGTGTCAGTCTTCTGTGTTTCGGTTGCATCAGTTAATTCAGCAGACATGCAGGGCACGGAGGGCCGTGGGCTTGGGGGCTCATCGCCACCTACCCCTCCTCTTGGTCTATTAACAGTTTGACGCGTTATATTAATGGTGTAGCTATAAACGAGACCCTGGGACTGGCCATGTATCGCAGCGAATCAGCCACGGTGGACATTTTCGCGGAATCTCCTACGTGACGTGAATGTAAAACACAATGCCGAATATTCACTTACATAATAATCGGTGGGTGCATTTGATCACTTCGCAATTTACGTTTCACCACCGTAAAAGAAAATCACGACCACTTCCTGTTACGTGCTGCTAGTAAACGCCGCCTATGTCGTACTGGAGATCTGCATAGTTCATGATGTGTGACCTTTCCTACAGGAAAACCCCGTGAAGCTGCTGGAGAATCTGTCTGCCATCAAGGCGCGACACAAGTCCCTATGTGGGCAAATAGAGGAGATCGCAGTGGAGCAGAAGCAGTCTGTGGAGGCCATCAAGGTCCACCTAAATACCACGGTACAGCTGGTGCAAGAGCTGCAGCTCATCTCAGACTACCAGGTACAGCCCTCACCTGCCTGCTTAACCACCTGTAGACAAATGGTTATCTGCCATAAATATGGAAGGCAGAGTAAGTGGTTGTAGGAAGCCTGAAGAAGTCTGCTCCTTTGTATTTTAGCTTCCCCCGCTTACAGACAAAGAACAAGAGGCAGCTGAGTTTCTCTGCTTGCCTGATTATCAGCTGACAGCAACGGTAAGGTGAACGCAAATATGGCTTATAGGAAGCAATGGCTTAGAAAGAATTCTCATACATTTGGACTTTGATAATGTATAAAATGAACCACTGTAGTTGTGAAGTTGTTGCTACAGATTGGTGCTGATTCATGCAATAATGCGGCCTTTCTTAGCTCCTGATAGAACAGAGTTCAATTCTGGTCCTGGAGGGCCGGTCTGCAACACAGATTGCAGATTTCCCCGCTCAAACAAACCTACTAAACTTGGCAATTAGCTGGTGAACTGAATGTGTATTTGAGCAGGGAAATCTGCAGACTGGCCCTCCTTGACCTGTGATAGAGCATTTCTGCATGGATCTTAAATGTTAGGAATCCTGCTGTTTTCACATATGGTTATTTAACTTGTGTTTAGAGCCCATCCACATCTGAGGTCCCAGCCGATAACGAGTCACAACGTAAGTAAAAGAAGTCCTCACCACTGAATATTAGTAAAGAAGTGATAGGGCTGTCTGGAGCTAGTAACCCTCATTACCCAACCCTGCTGTTTGACATGACTTCAGAAAGAAACATCTAACCTCTTCAATCATCTCTGCAGCCCCAAGCAAGGAGTTTGAGGAGCTAAGCGAAGTGGACCTGGAGGCGGTACCGCGCAGCGTGCGCTCCAACGTCAAGCTGGCTGACCTCAATGCCTTCTATAAGCAGCTGTTCGAACACTTCGTCGCAAACAACAGGTTGGGGGAGTTGTGACAGAATGTGCTGTTGAAACGGCTGTTTGTTTTTATAACTGTCTTCGACAAGAGTTATAAATTTGTAACGAAAGCAAAATAGTGTTTTTGTAGTATTCCCTGTTAAGCCTGGGAAATGGACCACATTCCTAGCCCTATGTGTGTTTAGGTTTGGTAAAATAGTGATGTATTTACCTTATCAATATGAACTTCATTTCTCCCCAGTGGGACCCTTAACTCGATGCAGATGAAGAAAATGAACATGAAGCTGAGCGAAGCCAAGTTGAAAACATTAAAGCACCTCTCCCTTATTGAAGTGGACAAGAAAGGATGTGTTCGCCTAGCAACGAGAGACTGAGGGGCTTGCATGGGTCTGTGTTAAAGACTGCAGGGATCAATGCAGGTTACGTACTGCACATTCCAACAACTGTGTCGTACAGTCCTGAAGCATCTGCTTTCATGGAACTAGTGTCAAAACAAAACTTTCAAACCATACACGGTAAGTATTCCAGGCTGTTTAAATTAAAAACTCTGTTAAATGAATATTTTATTAAATGTTTAATATTTATGTTTACTGAAAAGGACTACAGTGATTATTGCAGTGCTTCGCTTTACCTGTAACATACATTTATTTCAACACCTTTAAAAGCATTTTAATCATACACTGTATAACTACACGTCATGTTAATGCCACAACCAAACATCCAACGTAAAAATCCTGTGTAATGTTTTCTGAGTTTGTGTATATCCACACTTGAAATTTCCATATATCCACACTAAGTTAAAAAGGTTAGATGGCTTAAAATAGGAAGAGAAATCGCTTACTTAGAAAAAATGAAACATTGAAAGAAACAATGGATGTTAAGGTGTTTATTTGGAAAAAAGTTGTGTAGACATTTAAATGGAGAACAGCTCACGTCTCATTGAAATACTACAATATGAAGAGAAATTCTGCAAAGTCAGTGAGCAGTGAGCTAAACAAAACTCTCACTACAAACACAGCATCACAAAAAGATCACAGTCCTTCCAGTTGTGTCCAAAAGGATTCTTCGAACACCCTATAAAATATACTACTTATAAATATATAACGCTGCATTACGTTACACTGTAAAGTACAAGGATCTCAAGCTATAAGGGGCAACAGCACAATGTAAGAGCAAACAATTCAATAACAACAAAACTGCAACGAGAGAATAAAAATATTAACACTGATTTTAAGTCTAAACACAAACAAGGAGTGATGATAATAATGTAGGTGATTATTTTCTTGTACCCTGCTGGGAATGGGTTAATTTGAGCAGTGACTGGTTTGGGCCAGTTTGACTTTTTGTGGGAACCTGACCCAGGACAGTCACTGCCAGTAAGTTACACCATATGGATTTCCTCTATTATTACAATGCACATGTCATTTTCAAGAAAATACTTTGGCAAAAGAGGGATTAGTGTCTTCACTGTGAATGGTTACAAATATAATGTCATGCCATAAAGAACCATTCATAACAATCAAATCAAAGTGAATGAAACTCAGTGGGGCTGGTAAGGACCATTGAGGTTGTCTTCAGATCCCTCTAGCCTCCAGCTTCTCTTCATGTTCATCTACTCAGCCTATCGAGATGCAGATAAGTCAACGTTAAAGCAGCGCTCACACCTACACGACTGCTTGAGAGCACTGTAGGCACGCGTTACCTTGCTGTTCTCCAACACATTTAAATTTGTCAGGGTGTGGATGCTGTTTTCCCAGGACTTGTGGTCCCGGGTACTGAAGGTACAGCGTCATCAGACTGTAACGTCTTCCTAGACTCCAGGTTGTCCATTTCATTCCCTACCCCCTCCCTGTCGGACTCAAATGCAGATAGTCCAGACACACAAAACATGAACCAAAACCTAAATGAATCAATCAGCTGTATGTGACTTCTGTGGCCACTTTCATATATTTTTACAATAACCATTTGAATAGTAATATGACATCTTTCATCTTTACATATTATGTCAAGTAGTGCAATTCTCACCAGGGGAAGCAGTTTAGATGGAAGGACGGATAGACTGTAAATAAAATCCGTAGATTTATGTGGGCAGGTTCGGCTGCATATTACAAGGGAACTTAACTTGCATAACTGGAAAGGTAATAGAAGCTATAATCCAAGTGAAAATGGTAGATTACCTGGATTCAAATAACATTCTGAGGATTCTGGATTTAGGAGAGGTAGGTCCTGTGTAACTAATCTACTTGAGTTCTTTGAGGAAGCTACAAGAGAAATTGATCACAAAAAAGCCTACGACGTGATCTACTTAGATTTCCAGAAGGCCATAGATGTTGTTCCTCACAAACGGCTCTTGCTAAAGCTCAAAGCTGCAGGGATTTTAGGAACTGTAGCAGCTTGGATCGAAAACTGGTTAACAGACAGGAAGCAGCAGGTAGTTATTAGAGGCATAATGTTGCCGTGGGCCTGCGTTCATAGTGGGGTACCGCAGGGTTCAATTTTAGGACCATTATTGTTCCTAATTTACATTAATGATATTGACACCAATACGTACAATAAATTTGCAGACGACACCAAGGTGGGTGGTGTAGCAGATACTAAATTAGCAGCACAGAGGCTACAACGGGATATTGATTTAATTAGTGACTGGGCTATGGAAATTTAACGTAGATAAATGTAAGGTAATCCATGCAGGGAGCAGAAATATAAAGTACAGGTATTTTATGGGTTCCACTGAAGTAAAGGTAGCTGATCATGAGAAAGACCTCAGTGTGTATGTTGATGCTTCCATGTCTCACTCTTGTCAGTGTGGGGAAGCAATAAAAAAGGCCAATAGGATGTTGGGTTACATCTCTAGGTGTGTGGAGTTTAAGTCAAGGGAGGTGATGCTACGATTATACAATTCCTTGGTAAGATCCCACCTAGAATATCGTGTGCAGATTTGGTCACCATACCTTAAAAAGGACACTGCTGCCTTGGAAAAGGTTCAACGTAGGGCTACAAGAATGATTCCTGGTCTTAGAGGAATGTCTTATGAGGAGAGGTTAGCTGAGCTGAATTTGTTTAACCTGGAGAAAA